GTAGTGGTGGGTGGTTGTCCTGAACTTACTTTGTAGACCAGGCTGGCTCCAAGTCACCGAGAAAAGCCTGCCTCTGTCTCTGAGTGCTGAGATTATAGTTGTGTGCCATTGCACCTAGCTTGTCTTTTCTTTTTCTTTTTCTTTTTTTTTTTTAAGATTTAAATTGTGTATGTATTGCTGTATTGCAGACAGGGTCTCATACAATAGAAGCTGGCTTCAAATTTGATATGTAGAGTATGGCAATCCTCCTGTCTCAGTGTCTTGTCCCTGCTGTTTTTTGAGGATCTCTTTTACCAGCTGTCACTTTGCTCCTGGACTGTGAGCCTGCTCTGGTTTGGTCATACTTTATCTTTCTGTAATGTCTCTTCCATGCTATTGTGGCTCTATGCTTTCCTCATCTGCCAAACTGTCTTGGAAGTTACCAGAAAGAAACTGCTTCTGTAGACATACTCAAGTTCCTAGCCATTGTGCTATAGCCAAGGCAGTTTGGCTTCAGTACTGCACATATACTTTCCATTTCATTTCTCTCTTAAGATATTTATTTTATGCGTGTGTGCAAGTGCCTGTGTGTATGTATGTATCAGCACTGTGCATTCCTGATGCTTGAGGAAGCCAGAAGTGGGCTTAGGAAGCTCTGGAACTGGAGTTACTGCAGGAATTACTTGCTATGTGAGTGCTACAAACCAAACCCAGGTCTTCTGCAAGAGCACAAGACAGAAAAGGAAAAATAGTTGAGAGCAAGTGTTCTCAACTTTTGAGTCATCTCAACAGTTGTCCTATGCTCGCCATTTCTATTCTGTCCTCTTCCTGTCTTATTCCTGTGTCCTTTGTGAATGACTTATACCCGCTTCTTGGACGCTTTTGCCAAATCCTCTAGTGTGGAAGCATGTCTCATTTGTGGGTTTTGTTTAGCCTTGGCTGATCTCAGAGGCACAGTGCATATAGCAAAATGCCTATTTGGCTTTCCTGCCCACCTGTCCACATCTTCATTCTTTTTATAGTCTTGTCAGTTATTCAGTGAATGTGTGCTGCCATACATAGAAGTTGATGAGAAACATAAATGGAGGCTGATTAGCTTTGAGTAATGCTGTTTTTCCTTTTCTGTCTCTTGCTGCAGAGGAGAAGCAGGACATGACTGTTTTAATATCCCACAAAATGCCTAACTCATTAGTATATGGGGCCGACTGGTCCTGGCTTCTTTCCCATTCCATGAAGCCCACACCTACCTGTTCCTTTGATCAAAGTGATATGGGAGCCAGAGCAGCAGACGGCTACAGCCTAATAGTTGCACAGGAGCCACCAGCATCTCTCCATGAACAAATAGTGGACCGCCATGTGGAAAGGCCTGCTAAAACTCACAGAGTTGAACCGAAGGCTTCTCTCTTTCCATTAACAGAGGACATGAAAAACAGCAGCAAACTGTACCCCTCAGCCAAGACCTGTGATCTCAGCCTCCACTCCAGTGGACAGAACTTTGACAATAGCCTCTTGGCCACCTGCTCCTTTTACGACCATGTTCTCCACCTCTGGAAATGGGAGACAGAGCAAGCTTGAGGTTGCATTCTTTGCATCCTCTGGAGAGTGCTGGCCATTGAGAATGAACTTTCTGGGGGCTAGAGAAATGGCTTCAGTGGTTAAGAACACTCACTGGTCTTCTAGAGGACCTGGGTTCAATTCCCAGCACCTACATGGCGGTCTGTAACTCCTGTTCCAGGGGATCTGACCCCTTTACCCATGCAGGCAGAACACCAATGTGCATAAAATAAAAATAAATTTATGAAGAGAATGAACTTTCTGATTGGAGTTTTCCAGCTCTACAACTAAGTGTCTTTGAATACATTTTATCTTTTATCCCTTTGATTATATTTAAGCCCCTGTTTATTTTTTTTAAACAATTTCTTTAATTTTATTTTCTGTGCATTGGTGCAAAGGTATTAGAATCCCTGGAACTGAAGTTATAGACAGTTGTGAGCTGCCTTGTGGGTGCTGGGAATTGAACCTGGGTCCTTTGGAAGAGCAGGCAGTGCTCTTAACCACTGAGCCATTTCTCTAGCCCCCTCTCAAATTTTTTAAAGATTTATTTATACAGTGTTCTGCCTGTATGTATGCCTGCAGGCCAGAAAAGGGCACCAGATCTTATAGATCTTATTATAAATGGTTATAAGCCCTGTTTGTTTATTTACTGTATATACAATATTCTGTCAGCACATACATCTACATGCTAGAAGGGTACACCAGATCTCATTATAGATTGTGAGCCACCATGTGGTTGCTGGGAATTGAACTCAGGACCTCTGAAGAGCAGCCATTGCTCCTAACCTCTGGGCCATCTCCAGCTCCCCCCTTGTTGTTGTTGCTGGGAGTTGAACTCAGGACCTTTGGAAGAATAGCCAGTACTCTTAACCTCTGAGCTGTCTCCCTAGCCCCAAATTTTTTAATTTTTAAAAAGTTGTTATGTGTTTGCATGTTTGTGTGTTGATGCTGGAAGAAGCCAGAAGAGAACAATGGATCCCCTGACACTAGGGTTATAGGTGCTTGAGCTACCACATGGATTCTAGGAACCAAACTTGTGTTTCTCTGCAGGAATATATGTTCTTACCTACTGATCTCCTCAATCATGCCAGGCAGTGGTGGTGTATACCTTTAATCCCAGCCCATGGCAGGCAGATCTCTGAGTTTGTGGCCTGCCTGGTCTATAGAGTGAATTCCATGGTGGCTAGGGCTACACAGGGAAACCCTATCTCAAAACAAACCAAAATTATTTAATGTGTATGAGTGCTCTGCTGTGCCCGTGTGTACCTGGTGCTCTGAGAGGTGGTGATCACCTGGAAGTAGTTAGAGACAGCCACTTTTGTGAGCACTTTTAACCCCTGAACCATCTCTAGCCTGCAGCCCCTATTTCTTCCTAGTGCTGAGATTACAGGCATGGGGCACCACACTTGGGTCTTCGTGATTACATGGCAAGCACTCTCCCCAGTCCTCATGTTATTTTCTGATGAAATATTTTTATTCTCAGCTACTGGCTCAATTATTTCAAATAAAAGGTGTTAAATCCAGTAGACTGAGTGGTGGTGAAAACGCAATATGGCACTAACTGCACCTGTGACTTCCATCTTTAGGTTTTCCTTGATGATAGTTACCAGACAGAAACTGCCTTGGAGCCCAAATGTGCTCCCAGAGCTGACTTGGTTGAATTTGTTCTGGGCTCTGAAGCAACTGCATGGAATCTGCCCTTCAGCACACTTCAATGACTTGATTCAAAACACACGTTATACTAGATACTAAAGGTGTTTAATAGAAATGTACAAAGAAGCTGCCCCTACTCTTTGAGACACTCAGAATCCAAGGCTTGGTCAGTAATGTCTCCACTTTGTAGGCAAACCTTTGGCCATTGTTTTTTAGCGTGGGAAATTCTTAGGATACAACTGGAATAGCTTGCCTTCCTGTGTGGGCTCGAACCCATACTTCTCCAGGTTATTAGCATCAAAAGTCCCTTCTTTAAAGTCTTTTTCAATAGCAGGTGCAACTGCTTCCAGGAAGAGCGCTTTGGCAGTCAGGGGTGTATCTATGCCTGCCGGAACTCGGTAATTAACATAGGGCTTGAGCTTGAAGCCGGTTAAGTCCGGGACAACAAATTCTGGGACCATTTCCTTTATCTGCACAAACTTCCTATCGGAGGTATAGATGCCTGTTCTCTTGGCACCCCGACTCTTGATGAAGGTGCGTGGTCCCCGCTTGCTTGTCCACTTGCTCATCCTGTCCGCTCCCCGCACAAGGCCTTGAGTCACTGCAGTCAGGAAACCCATGCCGGGCTCTGCAGAAAGCAGCTCTAAAAGAAAAAGGCAGCTGAGGGAGGCAGTCTGAGTCAGAGGGACTCAGCACCCTAAAGCCTACGAGCAAAGGAGGCTGTGGGTCCCGTGGGTTCACTGAGGAGCTCCGGGCGCAGAGGATCCAAGAACCCACAAGAACAGACTTTGACCCCAAAAGATCCCGGACCCAGAAGAATCCCGCGGGGGTGGCGCCAACTGGAAATGCTCAAACCGACCTGGACTGATGGCTTCTGAGCTCCGCCCGCAAGCCTCTTCTCCCTTTTGACCTGAGACCGTTCAGACCGTATAAGACGCCACCGCAAGACGCTCGCGTCATTTCCGGCGCTCGGTCGGGTCAGTCACTCCGCAGCAAGAGCCTCGTGGACTGGTCGCAAGGCGCCCAATACGCAGCCTCAGCAGAGCGGAGGGCGTGTGACCCAGGGGACTAAGCCAATCAGCGGAGCGGAGCCGGGTGTGTATGGAGCGCGCGCAGCCGTGCACGTTCGCCCCGAGCCGTCAGGTGGCGGTCTAGATCTGGCCTGTGGCGAGGTCGCGCTCTCGTCAGGCCCACGGCAGAATTTTCGTAACTGCTGCGCCGTAGGCTGGCCGCGCGACTGGTACGGCCGGGCGTCATCGGTGCTGCCCTAGTGTTGGGGTAGGCCTTGCAGACCCTCAGGGTCACTTCCGAGCCGTGGCTTCCGGGACTGCCGTGCTATCGAGGGCCAAGTCTACTTAAGTCCTAGTGGTCTTCTAGTTAATCATTTTCGGTCCCAGCACACCCGCCGTGCCTGCGCTGTCTGTCCACAAGCTGACCCCGGTGTCTGGGCTCCTCTTCACCCTTCTCTGATACCTTGCCCTTCGTTCCACCCCTTGCTGTCCCGCTCTCCTCAGGTGATCACTCCTCGGCTATAACCAGGTCCCCTTCCTTCGCTCCTAATCGAGACCCCTTCTGGGTTGTGACCACTCCTGGTCCAGATCTTTTCTGAGCTTGAAGGCTCTGTGTCGTATTCCTTATCTCTCCCCTTGCCTACATCACGCCTCCGAGGTGAGGCCCACCCTCCAGCCAGTCACCCTTACCCTTCGACCACCACTTAGGCCCTTGCCTCCGTGCTCCGTGCCTTTTGCTCCTCCTCGTTCTTGAACCACTTTCTTAGCTGTGCCACCAGTCGCAGCTGTCCCACCTCCCTGAACTCTCAGCCAACATACTCCCCTGGTCTCCCCAACCCCAAGCTAGCAGTCCCTGACTTTGCGGCTCAACTCCCCTCCCCCATCCTTGCCCCCACCCCTGGCCACGGTTCCCCTTAGACCACGTGAGGGCTGTTTACAGGAAACGAAAGCACAAGCCTCTGGAAAACAACTTGTTTTTTTTGGAGCACAGAGTTCTGGAGTCCCGTCCAATAAGAGCGTTTGACTTGGAAAGGAGATGGCAAGGCTGGAACTACAGCTGCCCATGCTGTAAAGGTTCTGGTAGATGTTTGTCTCAGCCTGTCTCCTTTTCGCCCTCCACATTGCATTGCTTTGCTTTCCGTTATGCAGAAAGAGGAGGATGTCTGCTCTGAGGTAGGTAGACCAGGCACGGGTGAGAACCAGACCCTTAGAACTCTCAGGCCGAGCTTTTCCAGAGAACAGGTTCCTTTGCCTCAGGTTTCTACTGAGGCTTCTTGAAGACCCAGGGAATGTGGGAATGGTTTCTCAAGCTATTTCTCTATCAGAGTTCTGACACCTGTTACTAGTCAGTGGCTCCTGACAGCGTGGACAACGGAATCTGGCTTTTAGGTCATTATGAAGCCTTCTTTTCTTCCCTTAAGGTTACAGTTGTTACTTCCTGTTTACTCTTAAAACTTTGGTACTTGAAGAGTCTTTTTCTCAGTTTAACACTAGCCACATCCCAAAGGCCTTCATTAATATTTTATTATCCCAAAGGCAGCTATTATTAACATTCTTTTGAGACAGGTCTCTCTACATGTCTCTGTAGACCAAGCTGGCTTTGAATTCACAGAGATCTGCTTGCTTCTGCCTTCCAAGGCCTCAGATCAAAGGCGTGTGTCACCATACCCTCTGCCTATATTTTTAAGCCAGAAAAGTAGATCTATTAGAATAACTGTAAACAACTAGACAGGCTGTTCTACTATGGTAGACTGTATAGATAGGTGCCTTTCCTTAGTTAAGGTAAGCTTAGAAGAACATAGAAGGTGTGGTTGGTGTGCTCCTGTGTGCACCCAACTGATAGAATTTTGAGAGCTGAACTGGGGTAGAGGAAAAGGGAGGTTGAGTGCCTCAGTTTTGAAACCAAAAGCATACTGTTTATACATACACTTTACAGTTGTACAACAAGGTTCTGGTCAACAACAGACTACATGCAATAGTGATCCCACAGACTGTATCATGTGTTGGGGTTATAGTGCTTGTATAGTGCTGTGACATTCACATCATGATGAAGTCACCTAAGAACATACTTACTGGGCCAGGCAGTGGTGTCCCATGCCTTTAGTTCCAGTACTACCAAAAAAGAAAAAAAGAACGAATATACGGGTTTCACTGTATAGTTCTGGCTGTCCTGGAACTCTGTACATCAGGCTGGCATCAAACTCAGATCCATCTGCCTCTATCTCTTGAGTGCTGGGATGACAGGCATATGCCACCACCACCTGGCAGAACACACTTATTGGAACGTGTTCTTCATTATCCTTAAACGATACTCAACTCTTTGCCTCCTGATTTCAGATCAAAAGACTGAGTTTTCTAAGCAACACACTGATTCTTTTAGGATGCAGAACTATGCCTTTGGGTTTTGTTGTTGTTTGTTTTTGTTTTTGAGACAGGGTTTTTCCTTTGTAGCCTTGGCTGTCCTGGACTCAATTTGTAGACCAACATGGCCTCAAGCTCACAAAGATCTGCCTGCCTCTGCCTCCCAGAGTATTGAGGGGTTACAGGCAAGCACCACCGCACCTGTCTTGGAGTTGTTCTTGAGTGGCCTTCAGCTCTCCTTAGGTTTTCTGGCAGGGATTGCTGTGTCTAAAGACTGTTGTTTGTTCGTTTGTTTGTTTTTAAGGCTAGGCTTTGGTCCTTGGTTGTTAGGTAGAAACCACAAAGTAGGAGTAAGAGGTCCTCTACCCTATTCAGTTCCTAACTGCTTAGGAGGAAGGGGTGAATGGGTACTAGAGAACTGAGGAACAGCTTTGGGTCTGATTTATTTTATTTTATTTTTTATTTTATTTTATTTATTTATTTATTTTTTTTTTTGTCTTTAGCTTTAGCTTTTGGAGCCGGATTTCCCTGTGGGCTACCTACTCATCCTCATATCTTGAGTCCTTGCTCCCTGCCTCCTTTCTCCCCTGGTCCTAGTACATCTGAAATCTAGTCAGTGCCTTTCTGGAGACAGCAGGGTCAGGGTCAGAATCCTCTCTGCCATTTCTTGTTTGGCATGAGAACTAAATCAGATGTTTCTAAATCCAGGTGGATTGTCCCTTGGGATTTCTTTTGGTCCTTTGCCCTTTCTTTTTTTTTTTTTTTTTGAGATAGGGTTTCTCTGTGGAGCCTTGGCTGTCCTGGACTTGCTTTGTAGAACAGGCTGGCCTCGAACTCATAGAGATCCTCTGCTTCCCTGAGTGCTGGGATTACAGGTGTGGGCCAGCGTGCCCTACTTCCTCTTTTGTTCTCAAGACTGGATCTCACTGGTTGTCTAGGCAGGCGGTGAACTCCTGAGTTTACACGATCCCCTTGCCTTAGCCTTTCATGTAGTTGGGACTAAAATGAATGCGGTTGTCAGTCACTTCACATACTCTTGGAAGTCTCTGAGCATTCATTCTGAATGGGTTTGCATGGATCTTGGGGTTTGTGGCTCTAGTCCTGTTGGTATTCAGAGGGTACTAAGAGATGGCTTTGACCTCTTCTAGGCTTACATCTTGAAGACCGGGAAGCTAGAAGTCAAGTTTATTCATGTTCATGGCACTTGCCAGTAGTACTGCTACTGTGCCTATTCTTCCCAGTACCAAAGGTTGCTGCTTTTTTGTCTTTGCAGTTAAGCTTGAAGGGTCTCAGCACCCCTGGCAAGATCATTTTTCTAAAATTAAAAGTAATTACATTTCTCTCTCTCTCTCTCTCTCTCTCTCTGTGTGTGTGTGTGTGTGTGTGTGTTGTAGTTATGTAGATGTAATAGCAGGAATGTGGAGTTCAGTGTTAGTATTTATATAAAAATGCCATGCACACAACTGATCTTATATGAAAGAGTTTATTCAGGAGAAGGGAAACAGAAGAGAGTTAGGGCCTGAACGAGCCATGAGGGCAGAGACAGAAAGAGAGACAGAGATGGGTGGAGGGGGTTGCCCTGACAGACAAGAGGAAAGAAAGCAAGAGAGGAGAAGGAGTGATAGACTGGCCATTAAGTAGCTGGCCCAGGTGATGTCATAGGATGCAGGTATTGACATAGGACAATGTCAGGACCCTAAAAGTCCCTAAGGGCAGGCCATTTGAATTGCCTGCACAACATAACAGTCAGAGAACAACTTACAGGAGTCTGTTCTATTCTGACACCATATGGGTCTTAAGGAATAAACTCAGGTCATCAGACTTGGCAGTAATGAGTTATCTGATAGGCCTCATTTCTCAAATCTTCAGGGCCACTGACTTCTCCCTAGCATCTGACTTACTTTTGTTCTCTGATCAAGCTCAAGCTGAGAAACTGGGCACCTTGTCTGCCCACCCTGATGTCTGTTCTGTCCTCAGGCTGGCTATTGTTTGGATACCACCCTAAGTTCCTGGGGGCTTCATTTCATGGAGGAGCATTCACAGTTCACCATGGTAATCATATAGGCTTCCCAGGGATGGACCCTGATAGGCCTGTGGCTGTGTTTGGCCTTGCTGACACTCCTGTTATCTCCCATCTTTTGTAGCTGATGGGGATTGGAATTGGAGCCCTCCTCACACTGGCCTTTGCTGGTGTTACCATCTTTTTTGTGTACAGAAGGGTGAGCAGATTGCGTGAGTATCTGTTTGGACTCTGGCTGAGCAGTGGGGGTTTTGCCTCATTTGTGTCCTGAGAGGTATTTGGAGCTCCTGGAAGCTCCCCTCAAAGCCTTGTTGAAATGTGATCACCTACTGGGGCTCAGGTTGAGGTTCCTAGTCTGTCCATAGCCTTTTCTGCTCTTTCTAAAAGTAGGATCCAGTAAGAACAGAAGAAATTCCTGACTCTTCTAAGATAAGTCTCCCATGTTACTGCTTTGCCTTTTGTCTGAGAGGTAGTTAGGGACAGGGCATCCAAGAGCATGGTTTATTGTCAGGACCTTCATCTTCAGGGCCTGTTTTGTGCACCGTATTTTGGTTTCAGTCATGTTCACTGACCACCCACTCAAGGCTATCAACCCAGTCCCCCACCATCTCATGATGCTCCTTCTTCCCTCCCACAGGACAAGCAGGGCCCACTCCTCAGTACAGGTTCCGAAAGAGAGACAAAGTAATGTTTTATGGCCGGAAGATCATGAGGAAGGTAACTTGTATGGAAGCCCTGGGTTGCACAAAGTGCTGCTCAGAGTCTCTTCTTGTTTAGAAGAGACTGCTGTTTAGAAGGCCTGCTGTTTGCCAGGCCCTCAAGCTCTGGGTCTCTGCAACTCCCAATATGTGCTGCCTTTTCCTCTGGTCCCATGGCTCCTGCCAGTGGGTACAGGATTTAGGAGATGTTTTGAGTCATATTGAACGTTATCTACCTCCTCAGCAGAACCAACACATTTTGGAGGCAGCTAAGGAAGTGTGTAGGTATATATCTGGCTTGAAACACCTGAGCTGCTTTGGCAAGTGCCAAGCACATGAGCCCTTGGACTTTCTGAAGTACAGGCTTGTGTTAACAAGAACTAGGATAGGAAACTGCTTTTCAGAAACATCCCTGGGTACAGGATGGACAGGCACAGAGGGAATGTGTTTGCCCCAAGGTGGATAGCCACTGCCAGATTTGAAAGGCTGAGCCAAGGTAGGACCCTAGCTCCTGGGGTCTCTGGTGGAACAGTGTAGTTCCCTAATGGCCACATTTATCCTAAGTTAAAAAACTGTGGCCTCTTTCCCATGTTTGTGAGGTTCCATATCATAAATCTGTGGTCCTCCTGCACTCAGGGTCAGGAACTTGTGGCTAGAACTCATTTGAATCTTTGTTCACCTTTACTTAATTGTGACAGCTGGTCCCTTCTTCCTTCTCCCGTTCCCCTAAGGAGCTTTACCTGAGGCGTGGAGCCACAGAGCTCTGAAGACTTGGCCACTTGAGAGCAGCTGAAGCCACTGTGGGGTTAATGGGACTGTGTGGTGTTGGCTTGTCCAAATGATATCCCTGTGAACTTGAGTGAAGTCAGGCCAGTGGGATTTAGTGAGAGTGGGCCCCTAGTAGCCGAGACCAGGAAGGCAGCAACTCAGGGTGCTGGGGACAGACCCTGAGGCTGAGAGCTTAGACCTTGCCAGTCACAGGGTCAACACTTCATCTTTATCTTGGTTCTGCAGGTGACCACGCTTCCTCATACCTTGGTTGGGAATAGCAATGCACCCCGGCAACGTGTCAGGAAGAGGACCAAAGTACTCTCCTTGGCCAAAAGGTACTGGAAATTCCCTTAAGGTTCTTACCACTGCTGTAGCTCCTCCCATGTCAGGACATACCAAGGCAGAGCTTCTTCCGGCTTTGGAATGCTCACAGGATTGGGTTTGGGCTCCTTCAGTCTTTCTAAATTGTCTCTGCTTTGTAGGATTCTGCGCTTTAAGAAAGAATACCCTACTTTGCAGCCAAAAGAGCCCCCACCCTCCCTGCTAGAGGCTGATCTTACAGAGTTTGATGTGAAGAACTCGCATCTGCCATCAGAAGTTTTGTACATGCTGAAAAATGTTCGGTAAGTTAGTGGTTGGGTAGTAGGAGGGTCTGTCTAGGATGTGTCGCTGGCCTGGTCTTCTTTCCTCTGGTTGTCTTTGACTTAGCTTTCCTATGTCAGGGATGGTTGGCCAAGTCGATTTTCTTTCTACCTCAAGACTGGCTTCATGGTGGCAGAAATGTTCAGCAGGGTCAGGGTGCTTCCATGTGTGGAGTCTTGTGTCAGTCACCTTCTTAGTTGTTCCTTCCTGTTCTATTTAATAATTTTTATCACGTTTATTCTCATTGGCAAACTCAAGAACAAGTGTGACAATTGGGTGTGGGCTAAAAACCACAAGCTGGCCCACTCTCTCTCTGCTTTCCTCCCTCTCCTCCATTCTTTCTCTTTCTCTCTCTCTCTCTCTCTTTTTGGCAGGATCTTGCTCTGTGGCCTAAGCTGTCCTTCAGCTTGCAGTCCTCAGTCTCCCGAATACTTAGATCACAGCTGTGTACCATTATGTCAGCTTTATTTTTCTTAAAGGAGCATTATTTTTATTCACTTACTTATTGTCTGGTTTTTCAAGACAAGGTTTCTCTATGTAGTCTTGGCGATCCTAGACTCACTTTGTAGACCAGGCTGGCCCCGAACTCTCTGAGATCCACCTGCCTCTGCCTCCCAAGTGCTGGGATTAAAGGCCTGTGCCACTGTGCCCAGCTCTATTTTTAATTTTTGAAATGTGTTATTAATATTATAAGTGAGGGCAGGTACACATGTGCCATAGCACCTGTGTAGGAATCAGAGGCCAATTTTGTGGATTGTGGTGCTTTGAGTAAGAATGGCCCTCATAGGCTCATATATTTGAATTCTTAGTCATCAGGGAGTGGCACTACTTGAGAGGGATTAGGAGGTGTGGCCTTGTTAGAGGAAGTGTGTCACTGGGGGTAAGCGTTGAGGTTTCAAAAGCTCATACCAGGCCCAGGTGAGCTTGTGTTTGCTCACACACCTGTGGATCAAGATGTAGCTTTCATGCACCATGCTCCCTGCCATGATCATAATGGACCAAACCTCTGAAGCTGTAACCTAACCCACATTAAATGCTTTATAAGAGTTGCTGTGGTCACGATATCTCTTCATAGCAGTAGAACAGTGACTGAGACTTGTGGTCTCTGAGGATTGAACCTCAGGCTGTTGAGCCACCTTCCTCTTTCTGATGGTAATACACCATTCCAGGGGGCTGTTGTATTACCTTCTGTTTTGTGTTTGGCTTACATTAATAGTTACAGTTTGAGAACTTTTTGAGCCGATAGTTATCTCAGAAGTTTAAAATTCTAGTTGACTCTGTTGCCAGATGAGTTAAGTCAGCCTTATAGAGGTCTAGGCCAGCTCTGGCCCTAGTACTAGTACTGGCCCTAGTACTATCCCCTACTACTGGTGGGGATAGTGGCCTGTGTCCCTTACTCTTGCTTTCTTGAGAGCATCATGTTTTGTAGTATATATTCTGTTTGTTACAGGGTCCTGGGCCACTTTGAGAAACCGTTGTTCCTGGAGCTTTGCAAACACATGGTCTTTGTACAGCTGCAAGAGGGAGAGCATGTATTTCAGCCTGGGGAGCCTGACACCAGCATCTATGTGGTTCAGGATGGACGGTTGGAGGTCTGCATCCAAGATGCTGTGAGTCAGGGGCCAGAGAGGGCTAGGGATGGGCTACTGTGTTCTCATTTAGCCTCCATCACTTTAAAGCTTTGAAAAGCTCTCCATCATTTAGGGGCTGGAGAGTTGGCTCAATGGCTGTTTTTCTAAAGGTCCTGAATTCAATTCCCAGCAACTACATGGTGGCTTATAACCATCTATAGTGAGATCTGGTATCCTTTTCTGATGTGCAGGCAAAATGCTGTATAAATAATAAATAAATCTAAAAAGAAGAAAAGAAAAGAAAAAAGCTCTACATCAAAAAGTTAGTGTAGAATTTTAAATCTTTTTTTTTTTTTTTTTGGCAAATATCCACATTCTTATCCCAGTGTTCAAGCTGCTATTTTCATTTTGACAACATAATACACACATACACACTTTGAGATAGTTTCATTCTGTCATCCTAGACAGCCTGGAATATACTATGTAGCCGGCTGTCCTTGAATTCATGACAGTTCTCAGCCTCTTGAGTGCTGGGATTACGGGCTTGAACCAACACAACCTGACACATTCTCCTTACTATTAGGCACACACAAGTTTCTGATTCAAAAATATTGTAATTTTTATTGATAGTAACTAAATTTGGTCCTTCAGGGCCATTGTAGTTAGTCTAACTAATTAATTTAGGTCTGGAGGAATTTGTTGAGTTTGTATGAGTCCTGGGATTAGGAGGCTGTGACTGACTTAAGTAGGATTTCTTCATTAGTCTCTACTCCAGATGTGTTTATATGTACGTGTGTGTGTGTGTGTGTGTGTGTGTGTGTGTGTGTGTGAGGCTTTCTATTGCTGTTATAAAACACCATGCCTAAAAGGAACTTAGGGAGGAAAGGGGGTTTAGTTCAGCTTAATAGTTTCATATCACAGTCAAAGAAAGGCAAGGTAGGAGATAAAGCAGGAGCCATGGAGGAATGCTGCTTACTGCCTTTTACCTCATGACTTGCTCAGCCTGTTTTTCATTTTGTTTTGTTTTTATAGTACCTAGAGCCACCTGCCCTGTGGTAACACTGTCCACAGTGAGCTGGGCTCCTCCCCTATCAATCATCAATCAAGAAATGCCCCAAAGGCTTGCCTACAGGCCAGTCTGGTGGAAGATTTCGCAGTTGAGTCTCCCTCTTCTCAAATGACTCTAGTTTGTGTCAAGTTGGCATTTGGCTAGCCAACACAGTGTATGTTTATGTGGGTGTGTTATTCCTCAGGTGCTGTCTACCTTTTTTTTTTTTTTAAAGATTTATTTATTATGTATACAGTGTTCTGTCTGCATGTACACCTGCACGCCAGAAGAGGACACCAGGTCTCATCATAGATGGTTGTGAGCCACCATGTGGTTGCTGGGAATTGAACTCAAGACCTCTGGAAGAGCAGCCAGTGTTCCTAACCTCTGAGCCATCTCTCCAGCCCCCTTTTTTATTTTATTTTGAGACAGGATCTCACAGTGTAGTCCTTGCTGGCTTGGAACTCAGTATGTAGACCAGGCTGCCCTTGAACACACAGAGAGCTGGCTGCCTCTGCCTCCCAAGTGCTGGAATTAAATGCATGCACCACCATGCCTATCTTCTTTCTTGAGAAAATGTTTCTGAGTTCACCAAGTAGGCTAGGTTGACTTGTCAGGGAGCCCCAGAGATCTGCCTGTCTTCACTTCTCCAGTACAGGATTACAGATGCACACTGTCAGACTTGACATTTAGTATTTAAAATTACTATTTTGTGTATATGCATGTATGACTATGCCATGGTGTACACATGTGATGTCAGAGAACAACACAATGTTTGGAAATTTGTTCTCTTCTACTGTGGGTTTACAGGGATCAAACTCAAGTTGTCAGTCTTGCAGCACAATACTTTTAATTGCTGAGCCATCTTACTGGGTCATAATTGACATTTTGGGGCTGGGGCTGAGGCTTGGAGACAGAGTCTCACTGTGTGTGGCAATTAAATATTATGAAAATACATGTAACATTTTAAGAGACTGGAACTTTTTCTGGACCTCACAGCTATAGTTAATAATGTACTGTGAGGTCACTTAAGAGAATACTAATGCTGCACTGTGCACTCAGCCTGTTTGTTTAGTTTGCCTTTAAGAGAACAGTGTGACAGCCAACCTTACTTGCCCTTGATTTCCATGTATTGACTTTTACAAGTTAAGCTAATGTATAGCTATAGACTTAAATTACATACTTTTCCATACCCCTGACCCACAAATAATGCTTGTATAGTCATATACAAGAATATGTTATGGTAGTTAATGCTGGAAACAGGAAATATAGGTTGAAAACAACCTTATAAAATGAATATCTGCCATAATGTTGAAGACAACATATGAACATTGCTTGATAGCATTTGTTCACTTATCTGGGTCAATTGGAGTCAGTGAATTAATTCCTTGTAAAAACTCTGCTAAAGACTTCTGTGAGCTATCCCATCCTTCCCCATGTGCTGTTTTTGTCCTGTTCAGTAAAAGAGAGAGAAAAGCCCCTTGTTAGGGACACAGACATATACAGAGACAGGGACAGACAATTTCATAAGACAATGTTTATTTAGACTCAGATTCAGGCTCATTCAACAGACAGGAATGACGAAAGACACAGGGAGAGAGAAGTAGAGAATTCAGACTTCACTCTTTGTTAAATTACAATAAGGGGAGGGCTTTTTAATTTCTTCTCCTTAAGGCTACACTGAAACATTTTGGATACTCTGAGGCTGTGACTAATGTGTTCAAACCAACATTTAACCCTTGCTGGCTTGGAACTCACTGTACAGACCAGGCAGACCTGGGATTTGCTTCTGCCTCATGAATGCTGGGATAAAGCTGTGAGCCACCACCTCTTATGCACTTGACATTTTCTAGATGCATTCTGGGGATTAAACTCCAGTCCCTGTGCTTTTAAGGTAAACACTTTATTGACTGAGATGGTTCCCCACTCTCTGCCCCATTTGGATTTTCCAGACACGGTTTCTCTGTGTAGTCCTGGCTGTCCTGGACTCGATTTGTAGACCAGGCTGGCCTTGAACTCCAAGATCTGCCTGCCTCTGCCTCCTGAATGATGGGATTAAAGGCATGCACCGCCACCTTATTATCCTCTTCTTTCAAGCTTATGCTATCTTTTTTTCCTTCAAAAAATTTATTTTGTGTATGAGTGGTATGTATTACATGTGTGGGGGTAGAAGGCAGAAGATGGCATCAGATTCCCTGAAATTAGAGTTACAGGTGATTTATTGTGAGTTCCCCGATGTAGGTGCTGGGAACCAAACTTGGATCCTCTAGTAGAGCAGCAAGTACTCTATTACTATTGAGCCATTTCTACAGCCCTGCTATGGTATCTCTTAATCCTACTGACCCCAGCACTGTCTCCAGACTCTTTTTGTGGTCCTCTGAGATGCTCACTTTATTGATAGCAACTTGGAGATGAAATCTTGTATGCTAACTGTCCTAGGTGCTGGCTGGGCTTCTTTTCCCTGTACTGACATCTGTTGTTCTCTGAGCACAGAATGGCACGGAGGTGGTGGTCAAAGAAGTTCTGCCAGGGGACAGTGTCCACAGTCTCCTCAGCATTCTGGATGTGATCACTGTGAGTATTGCCCATTCCTTCCCTGCCATAGGTGCGTAAGCATCTCTGCTTAGCCCGTAAGTTCTGTTCTTCCTATCTTGGTAGACAGAGTCTACTTCTCTGCAATGACAAAGGTAAAAGGGGTTGTCTCGGAAGAGAATGGTTCTCACTCTGTAGTTAAGGAGGTGTCTGTGGGAACAACTTTGATATTGTGTTTAAGCAAGAATGTATTTCATAAGGCTTTGGTAGTCCTTTCTATTTCTTCTGTCTTTCTTTCTATCTCTAGTTCTAGGCTTGCACTGTGTATAACCCAGACTTGCCTCACACTTTTGATCTTCCTGTCTTGGTCTTCAGAATACTGGGATTACAAGTGTGTGCTACTGTGCCCGACAGTCTTCACTCTTTATGTTTTATTGTATTTGTTCACATACAGAAGTGAACAGAATCATTGTTAGGAAACGTGCGCCTGTGAAGATTACACAGCGGGTTCACAAATCACACCACGAGATCGGTTCCACGTGGAACTAGGGGAAGAAAGAAGGGGGTCAACGATGGGGGGGGGAGAGAAAGAGAGAGAGAGAGAGAAGAGCGTGCTCCAGGAGTTCTCTTATAAGGTGATCCAGGGCATGTGCAGGTAGTTCCAGGTGGTCAGCAGGTGGTCTGGGTGTCTTCACAAATGCCTGATAACCGGTTTGTCAGGTCCCTTGAGGCTGGCCGTAGAGGTGCCTGCTTACTGATCCCAACAATCATCACATTAGCCTCTGTGTCTTTTACCAAGTTGGACTAAAGGAGTGTGCCATCATGCCTGGCTAATTACTTTTCTTGTTGCTATGACAAAAATGTGACAAAGAGCTGAAGAGATGGCTCAGCAGTTAGCAGCATGGACCTGCTTATCTGACCAAAGCAATTTAAGGACAGAAGGGTTTACCTCAGCTCACAGTTTAAAGGGTATAGTCCTTCCCATCATGGTAGGGAAGGAATGACAGCAGGAGCATGAGGGGTCCACAGTCAAGAAGCACACAGATGTGTATCAGTGCCCTGCTCACTCTCTTCTTTTTATCAGCCTGAGATCCGTGGCGTAATGCTGCTCCACAGTCCCTCTTGTTAAACCTTTCTAGAAGCATCCTCACAGACATACCCTGGATGTTTCTCTGGTGATTCCAAATCTGGTCAAGTTAACAGTGAGGACTGACCATCATAACCTCTGTTCTAGACCTTGTTATTCTGCCTTCAGAGCAGTTGTGTAGAGTAGAGCCTGATGTGGGTATATTCAGTAGACTGTACCAGGAGTCACGCCTTTACACAGGATCACATGAGGGGCCTTCGTGGGACTCACTGATCCAGCATTTAGTTGAATGCAGGTCACTGAAACAGCAAGCTTCTTGCATTTGCTGGGGTGTCTTGTGTGTCTACACTTCTGCCTGTCAGATAGGCAAAGAATGCTTAGTCTTGTTTGGTGGCCTAGAGGCTTAAATGGGACCTCTGTGTCTTACTGTGCTGTAGTTGTCTCTGAGGATGCTCCAGGATGTTAGAAGGGACTGGTGGTCCTCAGAAGGGATAGGAGAAACCTAGAAGTACTTTGGTCTATCTGGGGTAGAATGCTTAGCTATTTGATTTCTGCATCTATCCTCCATCCTGCTAGAAAGTTTTTCTTTCTTTTTTTTTTTTTTTTTTAATTTTATTTATTAAGTATTCTGCCTGTGCAGAAGAGGGCATCAGATCTCATTGTAGATGGTTGTGAGCCGCCATGTGGTTGTTGGTCATTGGGAATTTAACTCAGGACCTTTGGAAGAGCAGACAGTGCTCTTGACCTCTGAGCCATCTCTCCAGCCCCCACAAGTTTTTCTTTTAAGCAAAAAAAAAAAAAAAAGTAAATGGGGGCATAGATCTTTCTTCATTATTTGTTTTTGGTTCTGATTTCCTTGTGGCTTTGAAAGATCCCTGGAGGGTATCTTCCGTCAGAGAGACCCCCTCCCAAGGAACAACGAGTCCATTCGGATGCAAACAGCAAGAGGCTTTTATTTTGATACACGGGTACCCGGGGCGAAAAGTCATTCGGGAGACTTCCGCGCCCCCTAGATGGGAAGCTGGGGTTTTTATAGGGTTTTAGAGCAGAAGCACTGGTACAGAAGCGAGAGGCATGGTTACAGGGGGCTGATTGGTACATTTTCATGAGACCACGATTTGCGTCAAAGTTTGGCAGGGGCACCAAGATTCCAGGAACTGGGTGGTCAAGGGGGCTATGATGACCCCTTGACGTGGCCCGCCACCTGTTATTTTGTTTTTCTCTATCTTAACTGAAACAGTCTCACAGATATCCATGAGGGTGATTAATACAAACTGTTTTTAGTATGACTGGGGCAGCCTGACCACAGATATCCCAAGTGGGTGACACAGCTAGGATTTCTCAGTAATTTTTCAGTTTCTCATCTGGCCTTTAGAGTTTTATAAAACAGTGGTGTCTCACAAAATGGCGTTAGCTATGTTTAACTTAGGGTGAGGCTGGGGTCTTTCAGCTTTTAAACGGAACATCATTTATTCCAGCATGGATGACTATGGCAGGAAGTAGGTGGGGGTTATGGCCAAGGCCAGCATTTCTTCTGAACTGGCCATTCACGGTGTCAGTGTCAGGATGGCCCCCTTAGCTAGAGGAGGAGTAACCTTCCCTGAGTTTAGTGGGGGTAGAAAATTTAGAGGGATGACATTTGAGAGAAAATGACTACTATATTGCTAGTAACTGCTCATTTTTTAATCTCACCAAACATTTGTATTTATTTCATTTTACAATTAAAATTTTTTGGTTTGTTTTTTGTTCTTTTTTTTTTTCAGATTTTTGTTTGTTTGTTTGTTTGTTTTTGAAACAGTCTCTCTACTTAGTCCTAGCTGTCTTTGGAGCTCACTGTGTAGACCAGGCTGGCCTCCAGCTTACAAAGATCTGCCTGTCTCTGTCTCTGAAGTGCTGGGATTAAAGTTGTACACAGCCATGCCTGGAAATCATTTTGAATTTTTATAAAATAATGTGTACAGATATTTTAGAATGTACTTGATGTTTCATAAACAACAATTGTGTGTTCTTCCTCTAGACCTTCAAACGCCCAGGTTCTTTTTTTGTTTGTTTTTTGTTTTTCAAGACAGGGTTTCTCTGTGTAGTCTTGGCTGTAACTTGTAGACCAGGCTGGCCTCATAGAGATATGCCTGCTTCTGTCTCTCTGAGTGCTGGGAAAAAGGTGTGCACTACTGAGCCCAGCTTTTTTTAAACACATGCTTTACTTGTTTTGTACATGTTCTATCTTAGACTGCCTTCCTGTCTGGAAAATGGAGCTGAACCCCTCTTGATGGCCCATCTTGCTTTTACTTCTCCTCCCAAACCCCTTGTTTTTAACAAAGACATCATACATGTCTTTCACAGCTGAGCCATAGAGTTATCTAGGAAAATTATTTCTTCCTGCCTGCACTCGAGAAGAGGGCACCAGATCTCATCATAGATGGTTGTGAGGCACCATGTGGTTGCTGGGAATTTAACTCAGGACCTCTCGAAGAACAGCGAATGCTCTTAACCTCTGAGCCACCTCTCTAGCCCACTCCCTTAGATTTTGCCAGCCTTTCTTAGTTGTTTTTGTTTTTCCTCCTCTGCGTATTTTTGGTCTCTCTTTCAGATCAGGGGCTTTCGTGTCTCTTGCTATATATTTGTGTGAGATTGTGGATGTGTCATATAGGTACATTGTAGAGCCACTGTTCAGACACAAAGAGCATATACTATGTTAATTACTGACACAAGTTCAAATTCAAGCTTCTAATGTATGTTGAAGAGCAGAAGATAGTCTTTCCTCCCAAAGGCTTTATATGATATATCAGCAGTATGTAAATTAATGAGTCACAGTGTCCCCAAAACACTTTTTTTTTTTTTTTTTTTGGAGGGGCCGGTTATTGAGACAGGTTTTCTTTGTGTAGCCCTGGCTGTCCTAGAACTCACTCTGTAGACCAGGCTAGCCTTGAATTCAGATATCAACTTGCCTCCGCCTCCTGTGTGCTAGGATTAAAGGTGTGGGCCACCTCCTCCATCTGGCTCCAAAACACGATTTTCAAACCAGGCAATGGGAAAGTTTGACCCTGGGCTGCTTTTACCAGTCCTGTGGTTGAGATCAGATCAGTGGTTATAGGTTATGGGTTCATACTGGGTCAATACCAGGGCTCAGGGTGTCACAAGACATTCTGGTTGCTAGAAAAGTCCTTGACTCAACTGGTAATTATGTGGATTAATTATGAAAAGAAAAATGCTACTTAAAAGCAGGTACAGTAGAAATGGTGGCACACACCTTTAATCTCAACAGTCAGGAAGCAGAGGCAGATGGATTGTTGTGAGTTTGAGGCCAGCCTGGTCTACATAGCAAGCTCCATGCTAGAGGCCATATAGTGAGACCCTGTTTCATAGAAAACAAAACAAACAAACAAACCCATAATCAACCGAACAACAACAAAACTAGGCCAGAGCCAGGGAGATGGCTTAGTGAGATGGCCTTAGCTCTACATGCTTGATGAGGCAATTTCCATCCTGGAACCCACATACAAAGCTAGATGTTGGCATGAATGTGTAAGCCTGAGGTGGAAGGGAGAGGCAGGAGAATAGGTCAGAAGCTTGAAGGCCAGCTAGTCTTGCATAAGCTGCACAGAAGCAGAAGCAAGATAAAATGTAAGGAGAGAGCCAGCTCCCAAATGCTGCTCTCTGGCCTCCACATGCACACTTGCACGAATGTGTGTTGTGCATGCACATACACATTAAAAGAGACAAACTCCTGTGTATGGTCCAGGTTGTCAACTGAGGAATCTATGCATGAGAAAGGAAAGTAAACTGTATTCTTCTTTTAGGGGTTGAAAGCCCTGTGTCAGTAGGTTTTTTTGGATGCCTTTGAAGGATCTCATGTACCCATGCTGGCCATAAATTTGTTATGTAGTCAAGGATGGATGTCCTGGAACCCCTGGCCTTCATGCTTCTCCTCTTAGCACAAGGCATGTGCTAAATACTGTGCACAGCCTTCCTTCCCTTTCTGAGAGCCTCACATTGTATCCTGACTGACCTAGAACTCACTAGGCTGAGCTGGCCTTGCATGTGCAGTGGATTACAGGTGTGTGCGGTGATCCTTTTTGGCTGTCACTTGCTTTCTAAAATGCTACTGCATTCCTCATGTACTCTTAGCTTTTCTTTTCTTTCTTTCTTTCTTTTTTTTTTCTCCTGCAGATAGGGATCAAACCCAGGGTCTTAACATGCTAGGCAAGGGCTCTCTACCTTAAAGGTATATCTGCAGAATCTTTGTTTTTTGAGACAGTATTGCTCTGAATCCTTCTGCCTCACTGAGTTTACTGTGTCTACCATACCTAGCTGGCTTTTGTCTTAATCCATGGAATTGTGATCATTTAGATGAGCATGAAAACAAAAGATCTTCTGATTCTGTCCATGAACCTTTTATTCAGGATAAGCCATAGCAGCATAGCAACAGCAATGAGAATTAGATTAATATTCAGACTTGAGTCCAACTCTCAGACTGACTTCTGAGTGATATTTGATAGCATAGCAAACATCAGAGCCAAGGCTTTGGAAATGAAGGGATTAGATCCACTGCCCACAGTCATGTCCTGTCCCGTGGACCTAACCATTTTGATATTCTACAATATAACAACTAAAAATCCAACCTTCTAGAGAAAACCTACAAGGTATAATCACAACAGTAAAAGAGAAATTGTAGTGTTTTATGAATTTTTACGGGGATACATGGTCAGACATTTAGTTATCTCGGATAGGTTACCAATCGCAGAGCAAAAACAAATACACCACCCTATTGTCGCTTGCTGAGTCAGTGAATTCATTTGGCTTATGTGTGAGAGCTTGGATGATCCTTCCCCCAAAACAACTGTATATTTCTTTTCTCACTGCTGTGACACAGTCCTTGACAAAAAAAACTGTTGTGCTCTTTTTTAAACTTTGTTTTATTTAGAGTTCCTTACAGCCTCTCCCTTCCAACACCCCAATGCTAGGTAGGAGAGAAAAGGTTAGTGGGGAGAGGGGCACAGACCCCTTTGCTTTTCCCAGCAGTTTAGGGTCTTTTTTAAAAGTATGATTTAGGGCTATCGTACCAATTCTCCATCAGTAGCAGATGCAGCGGTCTCTTCTAAGCCTCTGTGTTGAAAACGGTTCTCTCCAGTTGTCTGCAGGCTGCCACAACACAGTCATCCCTCTTTGGTCCCTCCAAAGTGCCACACCTTCTTGTTCTGTGCTCTCATATTTTATATCCTTCATAGTCCTAGAACACGCCCCTCTCCACGGCTGCAGAAGGCAGGCTTTTACCAGCTGGCATGCCCTGCAGGAGGAAATTACCAGGTGTGGACAAACTAAAGCCAAACTAAAATCCCACACTTGGGATTAAAGCAAAAACATATTTACATAACATGACGGAAGTTTTAAAAAAAGATTTATTTATTTTACATATATGGGTACTCTATCTGTAGGTCATTTGCATGCATGCCAGAAGAAGCTATCAGATTCCAGTATAGATGGTTGTGAGCCACCATGTGGTTGCTAGGAATTGAACTCAGGACCTCTGGAAGAGCAGACAGTGCTCCTAACCATTGAGCCATCTCTCCAGCCCCAATAACTGAGTTTTTAAAGAAACTAAAACTTCCATTACAAGAAACACTTAGGGAGGAAGGGTTTATTTGGATTACAATTTGAGTTCCATCATGGTAGGGAAGGCATGATGACATGAGTGAGGACATAGCCAGTCACATTGCATCCACAGTCAGAAAGCAGAAGTGGAACTGGGCTGCAAAGCCTCAAGGCCCCTTAGTAATTACATCCTCCAGTGAGGCTCTGCCTCTAAAGTGTCTTCAGCCTTTCCTTTTTGTTTTGTTTTGGTTTTTTGAGACAGGGTTTCTCTGTGTAGCCCTGACTGTCGTAGAACCTACTCTGTCAACCAGGCTGGCCTCAAACTTAAAGAGATACACCTGCCTCTGCCTCCCAAGTGCTGGGAATAAAGGCATTGGCCACCACACCTGGCTTCTTCAATCTTTCCTATCTTTCCATCAGGTATTTCAGTTATGTATAAACTAGGGACCACAAACGCACTAAACTCCCTAATTCTGACAGTAGCAAGCACTGTGAGAACGCACAGCAGGAGGAACTCACATTCATTACTGGTGGGAATGCAGAATGGTTGCAGCCAATCTGAAAGATAATTTGCTTGTGGTTTTGTTGTCGTTTGGTTATCTGGTAGAAATTTTGCTTTTGTTTTGAAATTTTTCTTTTTTACAATTTATTCATTTTATAGCCCTAGCCCGATTACAGCCCCCTCCCTCATCTCCTCCTTGTCCCACCCTCCCTCTTTCCCCACTATCCCCTTTTGTTTTGATTTTTACAGAGTTAAGGATGCAGATACCATGTGACCTAGGAACACCCTCCCACCCCCAATATTTAGCAAGAAATATGAACACAAAAACCTGTATGTGAGCATTATGGCATCTTTACACTTGCTCTATTCTGGAAACAACTCAGCCTCTTGTTGGGGGATATAGGAATATGCATGGCAGGTCTAGTGAGTGAGTGACTATTGTGTGGCTATTTGATAATAATGATTTCTGCTCTTTCAGAAGCATACATGGATTGGGTCTTTTGCACCCTTTTGGCAAGGGTTGATAGACAGGGTGGGGTGTTGAAGAGCCAGGCCTGTGATTCTCAGGAAAGAGCATGTAAATATTCGGTAAGCATGCAGGTCAGTGGGCCTGACCTACAACTCCTGTCAGCCAAACCTTTGCTGTTTTGCTGTGACACGTTTTGGTTTACATTAAAATTACCAGTGTCCACAGCATGCCTGGTGAGATCACAGCTATGTGAGTAGGAGCTGGGAGGTGCCTCCAGAAACCTTTATGGGCTGTGGAAATTCCCCAGGAGCTTTCTAGGTTCCTTACATACAATTAACCAAGTTGTTGTTACAGGGCCACACTGCACCATACAAAACAGTTTCTGCTCGTGCAGCTGTTTCATCCACCATTCTTTGGCTTCCCGCCGCAGCTTTTCAAGGGGTTTTTGAAAAATACCCTGAAACTCTGGTGAGGGTGGTACAGGTGAGTTTTCCTGTCTGTTGTGAGCCATTTCAGACACTGGAGCTGGGCACGGGACTGTTTCTGGTTTATGTGTCAGTTTTGATTTTGGCATTGTGGGTGAATACAGAGAATGCAGAATTGGCTTCACTAGAAGGATTTATTGCTGGGCATGTGGATTCTAGGAAGTGCTGTTTTTAAAAATTTATAGTATAGGTCTGCTGTGGTCATGCGTACCCCTAAGTCCGGCACTCAGGAGGCAGAGGCAAGGGGTTATCTGTAAGTTCAAGGCAAGCCACACCTACACAGTAAGACCACGTTTCAGAAAAAGGGTGAGGGGGACATGATCAATATATATTGTATGAGAATTTTTTTTTTTTTTGTCAACAGAAAAAAAGTGTTTTGTTTTATTTTTCCAAATTGGGTTTCTCTGTGTAGCCCTGGCTCTCCTGGGACTTGCTCTCTAGACAAGGCTGGCCTCGAACTCAGAGATCCATCAGCTTCTACCTCCCAAGTGCTAGGACTAAAGGTGTGCATCACCACTGCCTGGCTAGAAAAAAAAGTTTTTAGAAAAGCATAGTCATAAATTAGACAGAGTAGCTACACAAGGCTGTAATCCCAGCCCTTGGAAAGCCGAAACAGAAGGATGATCCTGAGTTCAAGGCCACCTGGGCTATATAGCAAGTGCTAGAGTAGCCTGAACAAGACTCTGCCTCAAAAGCAAGCAAGCAAACAAACAGCACAAAATGAGCTTATCAATATGGCTTTACAAGTAAGGGGACTTGCTACCAAGCCTGAATACTGGAGTTCAGTCTCCAGGATCTACATGGTGGAAGGAACTTGTTTTCTGAGTGCCACATGTGTTCCGTGTCCTGTGCATACCCACACACATACAAAAGAAATGTGTATGGGTAAATGGTGTGGGGAGGCTGAGGAGATGACTCAGTCAGTACAGTGCTCACTTTGCAAGTGTGAGGACCTAAGTTTGATTTCCAAAACTGAATGTAAAAAAGGAGGTAAGTGATTCCGGCTTGATGGCCAGTCTGCCTAACCTAATCAATGAGTCCAAGGTCCCAGTGAGAGACCCTAGTTTAAAGCAAACATGGTGGTTGACTCCTAAAGAGCAACACCTTTCCCCTCCCATGTGCAAGTACACACACCTCTCTCTTGTTCACACACATGCGCATGCACACACACGTGCACGTGTATACAGACACACATGCATAGATAGACATACACAAGCACATGCTGGAAAACCCACACATTAATATTAATAATGCCACAGATGCCTTCAGCCCTCCCATTCTCCCAAAAGAGATTTTTAAATTTCTTACTAAATATTTATTTTAGAGTAATTCTTATGTGTCCTACACTGTTCTTTGTGTTAGCACCCTGCTCCACAGTGGTGGGTTGTAGGGCCCTGGAAGAGGTGAGCTGTGCTCTGTGGCCTGTGCTGTAGGGCTTAGCAGGTATTCCATATGTCCCTGCTGGTGCCCACCCTAGACTTCTCACATCTGAATCCCTCTTGCAGATCATCATGATACGGCTGCAGCGGGTGACTTTCTTGGCCCTGCACAACTACCTGGGGCTGACTACTGAGCTCTTCAACCCTGTGAGTGCAAGCTTCCCATGTAGCCTGCTGTTAGGATGGTATATTTCTCAATAGGACACCTGACTGTGCCAGCCAGCACAGCTGTCCTGCAAATGTTCCTAGTTGTGGGACTGGACTGTGAGAAGTGGTGGTGGGCTGTTTACTTTTTTGCTTAAGTATATGCACACTGGTGCATTGAGTGACTCTATTGACAGTCAGGGCTTGGGGCATGTAAGGTTGTCAAACATTAGAGAATTTAGCCTGTTTTGTTACCTATAAGGCCAGAATTCTGGAGGAATCTGGTACCCAGGTACTGAGGCCATGGGCAGGGCCATCATTTCTAACTGTCCGTCTTGCTAGCACTTGGCTGTGTGTCTTGCCCTTGACTTAACATTGAGCTGAGCTGATACTAGGCTGTAACTTGGAGGATATGGGGCATTGCGAAAGGTGCCAAAGGCTTGAAGCCTCGATTTGGAAGCTCCTGGTAAAATCTTATCCAGTCATGGCCTGTGAAATGAGGCAAAACTGGTTCTCATCTAGAAGGACTCAGTAAGAACTGACCCAATGGCTTCATTTACTTCCCTGTTTCATACCTGAAGCAAGGGCAGGGTAAGTTACTTTGAAACCTATAAGTGAAGCCCCAACAGAACTCCTGGGAGTTGTTAAGAAGTGCCTGGTACCCATGAGTTCTGGTGTCTTTTTTAGTTTTGGTGATGCTTTACAGCTTGTCGTGCTCAGTTGCTGGTATTTTAGGGAATATCCTTTTATGCTACATGAGTTTTCCTATTATTGAAGAGTTGAGGTTTCTGGTTACATGGGTTATTATTTTGTCTGTATGAAGAGTTGGAGGCAGAACCTAAGAGAAGAACCCTGAGCCTTAACAGACTCATCCTCTCCAAGCTGCATGGGTTCTTTACTGGTTGTTATCTTCTTTGTAGTTGAGACATAGTTGAACACTTCTGATAGCATGTTTATAAGGAACCCAGGGAATTCCTGGAGCAGATCTAATACTCTTCTCATCCCATCCACCCCAGGAGAGCCAAGCCATCCCCCTCTTGTCAGTAGCCAGTGTGGCAGCTGGACGGGCCAAGAGACAGATGTCATATGGCCAAGAGGAGCAGCTTGAGAGATCCCCAAGGCCCCTGGAGTCCTCCAACTCAGGTACTATACCAACTTAGGACGTTCTCACTCCACTGTCCAGGTTACCTCATCTGCCCCCAGGTCTCCTTGCCTTCATCCCAGGTTTCCTTACATGACTCGAGGTCTCCTCACTTGCCTCTGAAGTCTCTTCACCTGCCCCTGGGTCTTACTACATGGCCCCAGGTTTTCTGACCTGGGGTTTCCTTACAGGCACCCAGATCTCTTCATGAAATCCCAGGTCTCCTCGAGTAGTTACAGTTCTCCTTATCTGTCCTCAGTTGTTCCCTTCATATATGCCCAGATCTCATGGTCCAGGATTATCTCATCTGACCTCAGGTCTTAGAAGCTTTCTTCGGGTACCTTCCATTCCCTGGGCCATGTTACATGTGTCCAAAAATCTCTTCTGTCTTTTGGTACTTCTACTGAGGAACTTGCTCCATGGGAATGCTGTTCAGGAAAGCAAGTTCTCAGCTTTGTCTTCTGATCTGCACTGCTTTTAGTTCTCAAGAGCAAATTAAATTGTGGAATAAACTGTCCAAGAATACTTAAACAATATATACTGCCTATATTGCATTAGTGCCACTTTGAAAATGTCTTAATAGCTAAGAAAAGGATCCCAGGGGACTAAAAAAGTATATGAAATTAAGGGAAACATCTTTGGTGTCAGGTACACTGGAACTGCCCATTTGATCCTCTCTAAGACAAGGCTTTGGACCTTAGTGACCTTGAAATACATCCCTGATTAATCTGGTTTCCCCCATAAATGTACTTAAAATAGGTGTCATATAAGTCTTTTTTCTGAGTCATGCTTTTCTCTCTAAAATTTTGGTCAGCTTAAGTGATGTAACCTTGAGTCTTGTCTTTTTTTTTTTTTTTTTTCCTTTTTTTCTTTTTGGTTTTTTTGAGACAGGGTTTCTCTGTTGTAGCCTTGACTGTACTAAACTAGCTCTGTAGACCAGACTGGCCTCAAACTCACAGAGATCCACCTGCTTCTGCCTCCATGAGTGTTGGGATTACAGGCGTTAGCCGCCGCTCTGGCTGAGTCTTGTCCTCTTGAAGGCACTTGATTCAGGGCAGCTCTCCAATGTTGTCTTCACAGAGATTGGGGTGAGGAGGTTTATAGACCTCTTTGAAAGCAGAACCTGTAGTAGCTGATAAGTGTCCTGTGTGGTGGGCAAGGCCAGGGTCCTTTGAACCTCAGGTGGAACAGTCAAGCCCTGTTTTGCCCCAGGGGTGCTAATGGTCACCTCTACAAAAGAAAGCTATGGAAAAGGGGACAATTGGCAGATTCCCCTGGTTCAGGGTTTACCTTCAAAGGACATGGGTGACAGCAGCGGGTAGTCAGTTCAGGAGGCTCATAGAGAAGGATGGCCAATAGGGATGCAGGTTTGAAAGAGCAGCCTGAGGCCAACATTCTTGCATCACTGCCCTGGCAAGTGCTAACAGTGAAATTGCCTGAAAGCCTTGTTTGTGGTTAAGTTATCTGCAAGTTCACTGGGTACTTGGGAGGGCCTTAGTTATGTGCTGTTTTGGGGGACTGTTGTTGGAGCCATTGGAGCCAGATACTAGCCCATACAGAGCTGGAGTATCTCATTCCTGTCTTCCCCAGATCATGGGAGCAGCCGCTCGACAATCTGTGGGCCTCTGCTGAAGAGGAGCTGCTCCGTACCTCTGCCTTCCATCCATGTGGAGATCTCAAATGAACTCTGGCAGTCCCAGGGAAGTGGCTCAAATCCTTCAGCCTCCCAAGGTAAAGTTCCTCTATTGCTGCAACTGGCTCTGATGACAGGCTCTGTATGTCTGAAAGACAAGTCAAGCTTTCTTGCCCCCAGTGTCATCTCATCCTGACCACAGAAATGGACATCTCACACTTGGTACCATTTATGACTGGACAAGAGCCCATGGCTCTGAGGCACTCTTTCTGGGGCTGAGTCATTCATTGATGGGAGTCTTGCTGCTTTGTACGCCCTGGTGAACTCTGTACACTGCCTCCCTCTACCAGCCCTGTGAGCTCCTCCTCTGCTGAGCCCTGGACCTACCCACACCTTCTGCCAGCATAGAAGGCCCCATCTTCAGTGTCAGGCTCACCTCTGCTGGGATTCCCATCACAAATTGACATACTCAGTGTCCCGTTCAGCCTCCTCTTGTTTGCAGCCTACTACATAGAGGTGCTGCTTCCCATCCTCTCTGTCTCCCTTTCTTTTGCACTGTTTGCTGGTCTAATGCAGTCTTCACTGGGCCCGTTGTGGGTACACTCATTGCCAGTAGTCAGTGCTTTCCCCTTCCTTCCTTATCACCTTTGATGTCTATGCTTATAAACTGGCAGCTTTATGGCTTCCTGGTTCATTTAAATGATGTATGTGTTCTGCATGGTTTCTGGGGTTGTGTTTTGTTTTGTTTGTTTGTTTGTTTGTTTGTTTTTGCATTGGATTTCTGTGTTTTAGTGGAGATCTCGCCTCCTTCCTTCTTTCCTTCTTTCTTTTTTTTTTTAGGCGTTACTACATACTTAATTACATGCTGGCCTCAAATTCACAATCTTCTTGCTCTACCTCTTTAATCTTAATTGTTACAGATATTTTCTTCTGTCTTCGTCTGTCAGAAAACTTAGCCCAGGGGCCCTTTTCATTATCAGGACAATGTTCCTCTACTGAAAACAAGTCAAGTTTGCTGTGCTCAGTGGCTCATGCTCCTAATCTCAGCACTTGGGAGGCTGAGACAGGAAAATTACCATGAGTTTGAGACCAGCCTGGACCACAGAATAAGAATCTGTATAAAAAGCCATCCTCAGCTGGGTATAGTGGCATGTGTCTTTAATGTCAACACTTGGGAGACAGAGGCAGGAGACCTCTGAATTTAAGGCCAGCCTGCTCTACAGAGTGAGGTCAAAGCCAGGGCTATATAGGGAGACCCTACCAGGAAGGAAGGAAGGAAGGAAGGTAGGGAGGGAGGGAGGGAGGGAGGGAGGGAGGGAGGGAGGGAGGGAGGAAGGAAAGAAAGGCAGAAACAAAGGAAGGAAGAAATGTGGTAGGGAGGGAGGGAGGAAATAAAAAAAGCAAGGTAGAAAGGCAGGCAGGCTAAACATTTGGCACCTTGTATAGTTAGCTTTTTATGTTTTTTTCTTTGCTTATTCCTGGCTCCCACATGTATTCTAGATTATTTTTGTTAGTTTCTATATTGAGGTGTTTCATTTATCTGTTATTCATTTTTGCAGTATAAATCACTGAAATTTAGCATGTATTATTCTATGTGATAGTCTACCCAATATCATTAATGAAACAGCTTCTTTTTTTTTTTTTTAATGCTGCCTTTATTAGGCATTACATTTCTGAGTCTATGTGAGTTTTTTCACCCATAAAGTATTAACTAGCTTATATTAAGTTTTTTGTTCTTGAGATGGGATGGGGTCTCATTCTGTAGCCAAAGGTAGCCAGTGGGTTATAGCCTGTCTCTGTCTCCCAGGACTGGGATTACTACATGAATGCTATCAAACCAGTGGGCTTTTATATGGGTGCTAAAGATCTGAACTTAGGTCCTAATATTTGCTTAGCAAGTATTTTACCCAGGTATCCACCTCCCAAACTGCTGCTTATGACTATGTTCCTTTGCTATGGGAAAGGTTATATTAAGGGCATAGTCATGTGTTGTTCCTATGTCTGTCTGTCTGTGTGTCGTGTGTCCCACCCCACCCCACCCCTCTGCACATGTGCTCTCTCTCTTTCTTCCCCTTTCCTCTCTTAACAGGGTCTTGATGTGTAGCTCAGTCTTGAACCCATAATTCCCCACCTTGGCCTCCTGACTGCTCAGGTTATAGGTGTAGTCCTCCTGCATAGCAGGCTTAGGTAGTTTCATCAAACCACAGCCCCTGCCTCCTGCATGGGTAGCATGTGGTATATCTTCTCTCTGGGCTCTTCCTCTGGTTCTATCGCATCCTGTGGCTGATTGCTATGGACAGAATGAGCCTTCTCTTGGAGCAGATATGAAACATCTGGCCATGGCCTCCCATGCCTAGGATACTTTCCCATGGCTTTTCTTCTAAAACTGAGCAACCTTATTACTGACAGTTTCTGTGTAGATTGATGCCACCCTCAGTGGTTGTTTAGAGTTGCTCCCAAAACTGATTGAAACCAGTGACTATAGTCCTTAAATGTTCCTTTCTGATTGGAAGACCATCTGGACAATCTCTGGTATCATTTCCCAGGAGCTTTTTTTTTTTTAAGACAGGGTGTCTCACTGGAACCAAAGGCGTGTCAAATAGGCAGACTGGCTAATTAGTTAACACCAAGGATCTTTTTGTTTCCACCTCCCAACTTACTTTTTATTTATTTACAAAGATTATTTATGTATTTATATTTGGGTTTTGTTTTTGTGGGTTTTTTTAATTTTTATTTTTTTGAGACAGGATTTTTCTGTGTAACCATTGCTGTCCTGCACTCACTTTTGTAGACCAGGCTGGCCTTAAACTCAGAGATCTGCCTGGCTATGCATGAATGCTGGGATTACAGGCATGCACCACCACACTCTGCTAGGTATATTTTTTTCATGTTTATTTATTTATTTTATTTGTATGAGTGTTTTGCCTGCATTCAGAAATGTGCATGTGCAGCACATGTGTGCCTGGTACCTGAAGATGTCAGAAGAGGGTATTGGGTCCCCTAGAACTGGAATTGCAGCTGGCTGTGAGACATCATGTGAGTGCTGGGAGTCAAACCCATGTTCTCTGCAAGGGCACCAAGTGCTTTTAAATGCTGAGCCATCTCTCCAGCCCCTATTTTTATTTTATGTGTAATTGTTTTTACTACATGTATGTAAGTGAACTGCATGTGTGTCTCACGCTCACAGAGGCCAGAAGAAGGTGCTGTTTCCCCTGAAACTGGAGTTACTGATGGTGTAAGCCTCCATGTAAATACTAACAACTGAACCTGGTTCTCTGCACGTGCAGTAAGTGCTCATAAGCACTGAGCCTTCTCTCCAGCCTGATCTCCAGTGTGGGTGCTTGGGGATATAAATCAGTTCCTCATGCTTGGGTGGACAATACTTTATTGACTGAGCTATCCCCCCAGTCCCAAGGCTGCTACTTTTTAAATTAAAAAAAGTTTCAATTATACACACAAATAATATGCGCACAAATTAAATAAATATAGTGAAACGTTTTTATGGAGCAAGACCACCACATTTGTTTAGCTCTTTCTGCATGGAACTGCTTCCCTTTCTACTGTTTGACTTACTGTGATGGGACAAGAAGCGCACCTTCACTAGAAGCTGACCACGTGGGCAATCTTAGACTTCCAGCCCCTGAAACCATGAGCTAAATGAACAGTTTTGGGTTTGTTTTGTTTTGTTTTTTTATTTGTTTGTTTGAGACAGGGTTTGTCTGAATAGTCCTGGCTGTCCTGGAACTCGTTCTGTAGACCAGGCTGGCCTTGAACCCAGAGAGGCGCCAGCCTCTGCCTCCCAATCAAAGGTGTGCACCACCACTCCTGACTGCATCTCTGCTTGTTACAGTACCACCTTCAGATGTTCAAATACAAATGGACTAATGATAGTGTGACAAAATGCCAGCAATACAACCCTGCTGGGTAGAGATCTGAGTCTTGTCTAACCCAGTTTGTGCTGTTAGCTGTCACCTCATCCTGCCCTTTCTGTTCCTGTGCATATGGGCTAGCAAGTGAGCAGTAAACTGAGTATTCTCTCTGTTCGTAGAAAGCCACGAGGGGGCCACCTCAGACCTGGGAATGGCATACAACCATGCCAGGGTTTTGCCACACTCAGATGAGCAACTTGGGAACTATGTGGCCAGCAAGGTATATCCCTGCTTCTCCTTACTGTCTCCTTGGGACCTTACCTATTCCCCTGTTTACTAGTGTTTTGGGGTGTGGTCCATATGTGACATCATCAGTATCAGCAATGAGTCATGGAGATGCACTTAGATTTCTTCCTCATCACATCTCTTCTGATGTCTTGTATCTTTGTTCTTTTCAAGTCCAAGAAAAATGTGGTTGTTGCAGAGATCCCCTCTGCCATCTTCCACTACTCAGAAAATTCCAGGGATGAGCCTGGGGCCAGTGGTAAGACAGATGCTGTCTTCAGAGCTGCCACACAGGACCTCCTCACCCTGATGAAGCTAGATGTAAGTGTGTGGGCTTGAAGAGGGTGGTGACAATTTCTGATCCCCACAGGACCTGCTGCTTCCTTTCCTCCATTTCATTTTGGGAGCACATCCCTCTAATGCTTTCGGGGGTATCTGTGACCTGCACTATGGTCCTCTTCTTTATCTAGGCCTGCCAGTATTGGGAATCCACATCTGTAGGTGTAGCCTTGGCCAGGGTCAGTGCATCAGTCACCTGGGCACTTGGAACTACATCTTTATCACGTGTGTGTGTGTGTGTGTGTGTGTGTGTCTTTTTTCAAGATTTATTTATTTTTTATGTATGGTGTTTTGCCTGCATGTATGCTTACCACCAGAAGAGGGCACAAGATTTCATTATAGACCTTTGTGAGCCACCATGTGGTTGGTGATAATTGAACTCAGAACCTCTGAAAGAGCAGCCAGTGAGAAGCTCTGAGCTATCTCACCAGCCCCACATATGTGTTTTCAGTTATTTTTCCCTCTTTACTTATTTGTGTGTTTATGTGTTTGTGGGGTTGTTTGTTTTGGTTGTTGTTAAATCTAGATCTTTGTGTGTAGTCCAGGCTTTCCCCCTGCTTCATCTTCCTGAATGCTGTAGCGAATAGATGTGCACCACCTTGCCTAGCTTAGCCATCTCTTTTTATTTAGTTTTTGTTTTTGTTTGTTTGTTTATTTGTTTTTTTCAAGGCAGGATTTCTCTGTGTCGCAGAATCCTGGCTGTCCTGGACTCACTTTGTAGACCAGGCTGATCTCAAACTCATAGAGATCTGCCTTCCTAGTGCTGGGATCAAAAGCATGCACCACCACACCTGAACCCTCATATTTTTAAGTGCGTAATTATATGTATATATACATGTGTCTCGGTCAATGTTCTATTGCTGTAAATAGATGTCAAGTGCAAGTGCAATGCTTATTTAAAAAAAAAAACATTTACTTGGGGCTTGTTTACATTCAGAGGTTGAGTTCATTATCATCATGGCAGAAAGCATGGTACCTTCAGGTAGACATAGTGCTGGAAAGGTAGCTAAGGGTTCTACCTCTAGATGGGTAGTTAGTAGGAAGAAAGAGACACTGGGTCTGGCTTGAACATTTGCAACCCAAAAGCCTACCCCCTCTCTCCCACCCCCTGTGACGCACTTCCTTCAGCAAGGCCACACCTAATACCTCTCAAGTAGCACTACTCCCTAATGACCGAACATTCAAATCTTTGAGCCTATGGGGGTCATTCTTAGGTGGAGGCCAAGAGAACAACTTTGTGTGTCGTCTTCAAGAACATGTCCACCTCCTTTGAGACAGGGTCTCTCATCCACCTGAAGCCTGGTTGGGCTGACCAGTGACCCCTCCAGGATCCCCTTGTCACTGCCTCACTTAAGATCCTAAGCACATACCGTCATGCACCTGGCATTTTAAACAATGGCTTCTAAGGATCAAAGTCAGGTCCTTACTGACAAGCACAGGTAACTGCTTTACTCAACATATTCCTAGCCATAGCTTTTAAAAAATTTGAAGACTTACTATACAGATGCTAGGAAAATACGTGTGTTCACTTTATTGAGGACCACAAAACCAGTTGTATTAATTCCTCTATTTTGTTGTGATGAAACATCATAACCAAGGCAAGTTATAGAAGGAAGGGTTTGTTTGGGGCATATAGTTCTAGAGGGACAGGAGCCTGTCACTGTCATAGTGGGAAGCATGGCAACTGTCAGACAAGCATGGTGTTGGAGCAGCTACTCCTGAGAGCTCACATCCCGATCCACAAACAAGAAGTAGAGGAGCACAACTGGGAATGGTGTGAGTCTTTGCCCACCCCTAGTGACACACCAGTCCAACAAGGCTACATCTCGTATTCCTTCCCAAACAGTTCCACGAACTGTTTATGAGCCTATGAGCCTATGAGATTCACTATTTATTTATTTTTGGTTTTTTGAGACAGGGTTTCTCTATATCCCTGGCTGTACTGGAACTCACTCTATTGAGAAGGCTGATCTTAAACTCAGAGATTCACCTGCCTCTGCCTCCCAAGTGCTGTGATTAAAGATGTGGGTTACTACTGCCCAGTTAGAGTCATTTCTGCAAACCATCCTACGAGCACATGGACGGAATGCAAACTGAACAGCCTTCAAACACACTATGCATATCTCAGTCTAGCCACCTTCTTCCCAAAAGAGGCCCTTCTCTGTGCCAACCTGTACTCCTAGATGCCCTGGTTGATTTCACCTGATCCTAGGCTGAGTAATTCATGCTAAGTATGTTCTTTAGAGTATTTGCCATAGGTTCATCATGTTGATTTACTCACAGGATGGCCTGTAATTGGAATTTAGTTCTTGTCAGCACTGCCCATTGTCCATTCTGTGAGTACATTGATCTTAGTTCTTTAATCATGCTGGTGGACACATGGGGCTGCCAGGACAAGGTTTGTTTATTTTGTATTTTTTATTTGTTTGTTTGTTTGCTATTATTTGGTTTTGGTTTTGGTTTTTCAAGACAGGGTTTCTCTGTGTAGCCATGGCTGTCCTGTACTTGCTTTGTAGACCAGGCTGGCCTTGAAATCATAGTGATCCACCTACCTCTGCCTTTCTTAGTGCTGGGATTACAGGTATGGGCTGGGCTGTCGTGCTGGCTACAGAGTTATTTTTAAGAGTTACAGTTGTCCAATTTTTTTCAGTCACGATGTATATCTCATTCACCCTTGATGTGAGCCTGGGCATAGATGCTAGGCAATGGAACATCTCTAGTTTTACTCCTTCAGAACCTGGGGAGAAGGTTTATCGTTACCAGCTGTGAAGATTGTCAAACTTTTTCTGACTCTGTCTCTCTGTGCCCTCTACTTTGTGTGTGTGTGTGTGTGTGTGTGTGTGTGTGTGCATGCATGTGTTTACAATCCAAGGTTTTCTGCATACTAGGCAAGAACTTTGTTCCTGAGCCACACTTCAGTCTCTAAATTTTTCATTTGTAAATAAATGTTCTGGAGGCATAGAGGCAGATTTCTGTTTCACTTTCTCTGTAGTCACTAGTGCGGTCAGTGCCTTTCGTGTCTTATTCTCTGGAAAAGTGCCTTGTAGCATACTCTGAGACAAACATGCTTGGGTCTGAAATGGTATGTCCAGAGCCAGAATCCTAGTGAGCTGGAATAACATATAACAGTTTACCAATATTTTTTTAAAAAAGTATTTTGCAGGCCTCAATGCAGATACAGTTTGTCTTTGTGTATAGTGCAAGGAAGGGCAGGGATCAGGCACAGTTTTTCTCATAGGGTCTGGTTATCCCATTAACCCTGTAAGTGACTGAGAGGTCCATGCTGGACTAGCTGATGTGTCCCCGTAGCTTTTCACCATGGTTCTCTTTTCTGTCTTTTGTTTTGTTTTGAGCTTCTTTTATTGAGCCAGCTTTCTTCCCTTGAGTTTAGTAAAGGTTCAGAAATGACCTCTGTTGATTGACCCATCACGTCACTGCGTAGAACTAAACCTAGGTTTAAGAGCAACACGGGCTCTTAAACACCGAGCCATCTCTCCAGCCCCTTACTGCCATTTTCTAATGGTGTCCAGTGATCTTTCTTACTATTTTTGTTTTACTATCACCAAGAGCTGTTAATTTCAATACTTTTTTTCACGCCTTTGCAAGTATCATGCCTTTATTACTATATACATAGATATATAGATATAGATATAGATATAGATATAGATATAGATATAGATATAGATAGACAGACATACAGACACCCAGTCCCTGAAAGCTCCTGGTATTCTGGCAATCCCTAGACATGCTGGATTCCAGGCTGTTCCTGACCTGATGTGGCATGTAGGAAAGCCAGATTTTGCAGGTGGGATAGGAGATGGTACCCTAGTTAGATATAACTCTAAGTTGGTTTTTTTAAAAGGGCACCTCCTGTCTGAAGAAGGAAAGAAAAAAGTGGTGGCACACGCCTTACTCTCATCACTTGGGGAGGCACAGACGGATCTCTGTGAGTTCAGGACGAAAAGAAAGAATGAGAGAGAGAGAACTCTCATGCTGGACCTGAACTTTTGAGATGAAGTGATTCTTCTGCCTCTGTCTCCTGAGGGTTTGAGTTGTAAGAGTATACTACAACGTTTGGCAGTTGGCTGGTTTTTGTAATGAGTATGGAAGGGGTGTTCCAGCTTGTTGTCTTGCCTTTTATGCCAGTGACCTTTATGAAATGAACTGCCTTTCTTAACTGAAACTGACTTCTGGTGCTGCCTGTGTAAATTCATAAGCATATTGGTCTGCATCTCTGCATTTTCTGCCCTATTCTACTGATCTTTTGTGCAGAATATTGCCCTGTCCATGTTAGTAGGCAGTCCTTAGAGAAGCATTTGATAGAGCCACATAGAGCCATATGGCCTCTGTTCTACCCTCTTAGGACACAACTTTTGTGCCTTCACTTAAGTATCTCTTCATGTTCCTTCTTGAAATTCTGTGTTTTAGGACCCATCCCTGTTGGATGGCCGGGTAGCATTTCTTCATGTTCCTGCAGGCACCATAGTGTCAAAACAGGGAGATCAGGTGAGTAAAGAACCTAAAGGACTGGTCATAGGAACTGCCTGGTCCTGCAACTCAGTCCTTGGTGGATTGTAACTGAGGGCACAGTGGTTGGAAGTTTCTGGAGCTATGAGCAGCTCAGGGCTTAGGTGCCAGTCTTCTCCATGTTTGTGATTACTACTCTGGCTCCTTTTCTAGGATTTAAGGGGTTGAGGTGAGAAGATTTGCAGAGTCCCATAATAGATACAAAAAGGTTGGGATTTGGCCTTGCATGTTAACGTGGATATTTGACTCTTAAGGGGTAGCTATAGAGTGTCAAAGGGATGGGCTGCCCCCTCACTTCTGTAGGAAAATGGGCTGACATTTATGTAGATCAGTAAAAGGGCATGTGAGGAGGGAAGGTATGTGTATCTGAGACTGAAAAAGTAGTTGATAAATAAAACAAATCATAGGCATTGTTTAACTGTAGGACTGCGACAGTATCCTCAGTGGAAACGTGGCCAAGGCTATGTTATATATAACCTAGAATAGGCAGAGAACCAGCTGTTTGTACCAGGTCTGATTCTGTGGGGCTCAGTAACTCCCCTGGGTTCTGGGCCCATGGGCATACTGTGCCACTATCACACATGTGTCTTCCTGAAGGTAGCCTTCTCCGTTTTTAACAGGATGTCAGCATCTTGTTTGTGGTCTCGGGGCTGCTACATGTATACCAGCAAAAGATCGACAGCTTGGAGGATACATGCTTGTTCCTCACACAGCCGGGGGAAATGGTGGGCCAGCTGGCAGTACTTACTGGAGAGCCTCTCATGTTCACCATCAGAGCCAACAGAGACTGCAGCTTTCTGTCCATCTCTAAGGCCCACTTCTATGAGTGAGTCACCTTTTCCTCTTCCTGAACTGTTCTGAATGCTGGAGACACTTTCTGTGCTCCTCTCGGTCCTGCTCACCTGTCTCCTGGGTCCTTTGTCCCTGAGGCCTACTGCTGGCCTCACCTGTTCTTTAGGTGTCATACATTGGTACCCATACACAGGCTAAGTCATGCATTCTGAAAGCCTCCATATGGCTTGTAGTAACTGGCATGAGCTGCTTTCTCTATTGATGTGACTCTGGCCCAGTCATATCTCTGCCAGTACATTCTGTGGCCACATACATTAGGAGATAGAGCTGGAAACAGAGTCTGGCTCATTGCCCATCTGCCTGTTCACAGTAGACCAGGTCTGGGTGGAAAGGCAGGAGTGTCCTGCTCACTCTCTTTCCTTAAGTCACTATAGTTGTTTGGTGGTGTTGTTTCTCGAGACAAGGTTTCTCTATTTAGCCCTGGCTGTACTGGAACTCACTCTGTAGACAAGCTGGCCTCAAATTCAAAGATCTGCCTGCCCCTGCCTCCCAAGTACTAGGATTAAAGGCTGTGTTACCACCATTCAGTATAGATTGTTATTAGACATGGAACCAGAAACTTGTATCTGCCTGTCCACCAAATGTGTCCTTCAGAGGCCACAGGCTGTATCCCTTGCTAGCTTTCCTGCTTGTTGCTGTGAGTCCTAGAGTACAAGATTAAAAATTATCTTAATTTGTTGTTCACTGGGGGGAGAGGAGGTTGGTTCATCATTTTTTCTGTTGACCTGCCTCCCCTCACATTCATCTTTGTTAGTCAGCATCCATCTCTCTATCCATATTGCTGAAAGGCCTCTTCATCCATCTCTGATGTCTGTTATGACCTTGTAGCTCTCCTGCCTGAAAGTTGGGTAGATGCTCAGACAGGAAAGGTAGGTCCGGGGCCAGAAGGTAGTGGAAGCACAGCAGCTTAAAAACCATGTTTCAGCCAAGGTGCTTTCAAAACAGTAGTAGGGGCAGGGAAGGGAAGGCTTTCTCCAGATGTAGCATCCCTCTCCTAGGACTTGCCTGAATGCCTCTGGCCTGGTACCCTGATGCTGTCCTCTGGTACTTTCAGTATGCTGAGGGTGAGGACCTCGTTTTACAAATGGGAGACATAACCAAAGAAAGCAGTGCCTAGGTCCCTCTGCTAGCCAGGGGCCCCAGGATGAAGCTGAGTTCACCTTCCTCTTGAGCCACATGGATCTTCTCAGAGCTACAGAACATGCTGTCTGTCTGCTGTCCCCTGTCCCTGCCCCATCCATCTGTACCACAGGAAGAAAGCTCAGAAGGATAGTCAGGAGGATGAATAGGCTGTGATTGTCAGGACCCCACAGCCTTTTTTCTTTCTCTTTGCTCCTTTGACCTTGGCATAACCTGATCCTTCCTTGCCCATGCATGTGTCTGTGATTCTACAAGTCTGTGTAGGATGCCTGTGTGTGGTCAGTATATGTCCTTGTCCATATGTTTGAGTATGTCCATATGTTACTGCCTATGTTTGCCTGTCTGTGATTCTCTCTGTGTCCTTATTTGTTTCTCTGAGCCTCTTTTGTATGTATGTATGTATGTGTCTACATATCCTTGTCTATGTCCAGGTCTATGTATATGCACATATGGATATCCTTGTTTGTATATATGCATGTCTGATTTGCGACCTATTAATGTTTTTTATTTATGTGACCTTGTTTATGTGTTTTTGTCTATGTGTGTCTGTGTTACATGTGTCCTTGTCCATATGTATCTTTGTGTGTACTGTTCTCTGTATGTACATACCTTTGAATGTCTTTGTTTGCATGTATATGGTTGTATGTGCATAAAAACTCCTAATCAGATATTTCTCACTCTGTAGATAGGGTCCAGCAAATGTCAAGGGAACTCTCATCCAATCTTGTAGATAAAATTATATCCAGTTAGCTTTTCTGACACTATCACCATCTTACTGCCCTGGGATAGTGAAGAGACATTATATAATGGGAGCATTATCTAATACATGAGGCAGTGATCTGTTTTCCTGTTTCTTATAGACTGGGAGCTTCATCTCCTGTTACTTGGCCAAGGACTGGAGTCCATCAGCCCTGATTCTTTCTTGCCTCATGTCTATAAATAGCCCACGAGCTGCATAGCTCCCAGTTCTGGGGCTGCCATGATATCCTTGCTGTTTGCCTGCCTTCCCATTTTGTCCATACAGTCAATAGAGAGATGGCAATATTCTTGGGTCGGAACCTTAGGCACTTTTTACCCACCCAGGATAGACTCCATGTCCTCTACGTTAGTAGTTGCCCTTGAGGCAACTTTTCTAGCATTGTAAGCCTCGTGTACTTGCTGTCTGTACTCATTATGTGGTGGGTGGAACTCTGCTGCTAAAACCTAGAGCTTAGGACCTTCATGGAGTGGACAGTCCTGTGGGTGGTCTTCTATTTTCCCCAAATCCATGGTTCCTGTAGAGCAGAAGGCTGCCTAAAATCAGTGTTTTCTTTCCTCAAAGAGTCCTTCTGTGTTCAGAGGGGTTGAAGGTTCTGTCTGCTCTCAAATGCTATGACATTGTGTGAGAAGAACCTAGTAGGATAGGACTTAAGATGGGGTGGCAAAAGGAGACCTCATGGAAATGGAAATGACTTGAGATTTCATGACAGGATCATGAGGGAACGGCCAGATATCGTCCTGGGTGTGGCACACACAGTTGTGAAGAGGATGTCGTCCTTTGTTCGGCAGATTGATTTTGCTCTAGACTGGATGGAAATAGAGGCTGGACGTGCCATCTACAGGTGAGGCTCACAGATGTATAGTGTACAGAGAAACCCACAGGTAGACAGCATAAAGAGGTGTGCAGTGTACAGAGGCCTGCAGGTGTCTGCATCAGTGGGCTTCTGTATTGATATATAGTGGTTTTGTTGATAGACCAGGCTCCATACCTTGAAGGATGTACAATGAAGAGGATGAGTTTTCATATTCACTTCTCCACCCCTAGCACCCATGGAAACATTCTTTGACATCATCCTGGGTTCTATGAATAGATACAGACACACATGTATTTTGAACAGACATCTTGCCATGTGCATGCACATAAACCCATATCATCCTATCAAAAGGCCTGAGAGCTCTTTTTTTAAATTTTTTATTAATTACACTTTATTCATTTTGTACCCCCCCATAAGCCCCTCCCGATCCCATCCTCCCTCCCCTTTCTGCATGCATGCCACTCCCCAAGTCCACTGATAGGGAAGGTTCTCCTCTTCTTTCTGATCTTAGTCTATCAGTTCTCATCAAAAGTGGCTGCATTGTCCTCTACTATGGCCTGGTAAGGCTGCTCCCCCCTCAGGGGGAAGTGATCAACGAGCAGGCCAATCAGATTATGTCAGAGGCAGTCCCTCTTCCCATTACTATGTAACCCACTTGGACACTGAACTGCCATGGGCTACACCTGCAGGGGTTCCGGGTTATCTCCATGAATAGTCCTTGATTGGAGTATGATTTTCTGGGAAGTTCCCTGTGTTCACTGAGAGCTCTTTGAAGTAGCTTTTGTGAAGGTACTGCTGTGCTAACTGTTCTCAGTATTTTCCTCTGACCCTGGCTGGACTGCCTTTGCTGGCCTCACCTTGGCTTAGGTCATAGACAGAACTGGATTACAGCTGTCAGTTTTTATGATGCTTAAAATTTAAGCTAAGAATAAGTCAAAATACATATTTGAAGTATTAGTAAACTTGTATGTGTTAGCACATATATTTTAAAATGAAAAGTAGTTGTACTTTATATTATTTATTTACTTACTTATGTGAGATCTACTTACTGCTTTGTAGCCTGGCCAGGAATTCACTATGTAGACCAGGCTAGGCTCTAACTCATAGATTCATGTGCCTCTGTCTCCTGAGTACATGGATTAGATGGCGTGCCACCATACCTGACAAGTAACTGTATTTTACAAACCAAAAAATTACCAAGAAGTCTATATTCTTATAATTTGTTGCATCCTGGGGTCTCTATCCTGCTGGTGCTGTAAGCAACTTAGGCTGCTGAGCTGAGCACTTTTGTGTCTCTGCAGGCAAGGGGACAAGTCTGACTGCACATACATCGTCCTCAGTGGCCGGCTGCGCTCTGTGATCCAGAAGGATGATGGGAAAAAACGCCTGGCAGGGGAATATGGCCGAGGAGACCTTGTTGGTGTGGTAGGTGCCAGCTACGCTCTTTTCCTTTCATGACACTCTGGACTTGCCTATGGCTACATGAAGAGGAGGAGGAGGAGGAGGAAGCCTGAGTGACCTGAAGGAAGATGACTACCCCTATCCTTCCTGCTGGCCCTGCCCTTTGTCTGGGACTCTGCCTTAACCTTCTGGGAGATCCAAGATTCTGGTTCCTAGTTTCTGGCTGCTTATTTGTACCCAGTCAGTGCTGAAGCCCTTTTGGATAGTATCCAAAAGACTTGGCTGAGGGTAACTAGCAGTTTCCTCTAGCTTCCCAGTACTGCCTGCATAGGCAGGTTTCTCTGTCCTGAGCTGTTACTGACCAGCTTCCTGCTGTTTTTCTTTTGTTTTGTTTGTTTGTTTTTTCCTTGAGACAGAGTCTTATTTTAGTGCATGCAGGCTTAGAATTTACCATGGACTTGAGCTGGCCTTGGAATTTTGGTGATCCTTTTGCCATGGCTTCCTGAATTTGGATTATAGGCTTCTAAAGTAGTAACTTACATGAAATATGTATATTTTAACATGCATGAGTATTTTGCCTGCAAGTATGTGTGTGCCAGGTGCCCAGATTGGCCAGAAGAGAGCATCAGAGGTTACAGTGCTGGCATATGCCCTTAATACCAGCACTCAGAATGTTAAGGCAGGTGCCTTTGTGAATTCTAGGCCAGCCTGGGTTAGAGTTAAAAAAAAAAAAAATCTTAAAAAGAAGACATCAAATCTCCTAGACATGGAGTTAAATAGATAATTGTGAACCATTTTGTGGTTGCTGGGAATTGAACCTAGATCCTTTGGAAGAGCAGCCAGTGATCTTTTGTTTTGTTTGTTTTTCTGAGACAGGGTTTCTCTGTGTAGCCCTGTCTGTCCTAGAAATCACTCTGTATACCACACTGGCCTCAAACTCAGAGAGATCCACCTGTCTTTGCCTACTGGAGTGCCATCACCACTCACCTTGTTCTTTTCTTTTCTTTTCTCTCTCTCTCTCTCTCTCTCTCTCTCTCTCTTTCTTGCTTTCTCTCTTTGTCTCTTTCTTTCTTGACAGTGTTTTACTATCTATCCTTGGCTGTCCTGGAACTCATGTTGCAGCCTAGTGCTCTTAAACCATCGAGACATCTCTCTACTCAAAGCACAAGTATCTTTTTAAAAGTAACTGTACTTTACAAACAAAAATTACCTAAAAACCTATATTCTTTAATATCTTCTGGTTAGCTGTTTTAACCCCACCATATCCTGCTTAGTCTGCCACCTACCACCTCACCCCTCCACCTCACTGGCCCCACCCTACCCTGGCTCTTCTTTGAGATAATGTCTCACTTTATAGTCCATGTCTCAGTTAAGTTTCTATTGCTGTAGTAAATTACCCTGATCAAAAGCAACTTGTGGAGGAAAGGGATTATTTCCATTACTGAGGGAGGACAGGGCAAGAAGGCCCACCTGCCTAGTGAGCTCCTTTAACAGAATGGCTCCTGACATGTGCCTATAGGCTCAGCAGGATACCGCCAATGTGGCCCCTAGAGGATCATGTGTCTTCTTTAGAGGCATTTCTATCTGAAGGAGTGTTCAGAGTTCCCTGAGATAGCCCTTGCCTGCGTCTGAGGACTATCAGAGTTACTGGGGGTGCCTGTGGCTTCTAGAACATCCCAGGAGTTTAAAAAGCAGTTACATGTGAGAGTCTACTAGCTTCATACAGTGTTAAGACTTGGTTAGGTCATTTTGCTCCTCCTCTTGCATCCTGACCACACAGCTCCTATAGGCTGCTGTGCTGGTCTCTTTTATGTCAACTTGATACAAACTAGAGTCATCTTCTAGAAGACGGAACCTCAACTGAGAAAATTCTCCCACCACATTGTGGGGAATTTTCTTGATTGATGATTGGTGTAGGAGGGCTCATTTCACTGTGGGTGGTTTAAGAAAGCAGGCTGAGCAAGCCAAGAGGAGCAAACCAATAAACAACATTTCTGCACAGCCTCTGCTTTAGTTCTGCCTCCAGGTTTTAGCTCTGCTTGAGTCCCTGCCCTGACTTCCTCTGTGGTGGATTGTTACCCAAAAGTATAAGATGCAATAAGCCCTTCCCTCCCCAGCTGCTTATGGTCATTATATTTTATCACTGCAATAGAAACTCTTAAGACAGCCTGGATACACCCGACCTGCACAAAACTTGGCTAGACTCCAGGTGTGGTCAGCCTGGCCCTCCTGGAAAGTTGGCTGATATTTGAGACCCCAGAGTCTGGCTCTTTTTCCTTAGGTGGAGACACTAACCCACCAGGCCAGAGCAACCACGGTGCATGCCGTCCGGGACTCAGAACTGGCCAAGCTGCCAGCAGGAGCTCTGACATCCATCAAGCGCAGATACCCACAGGTGAGAGCACACAGGAGTTCTAGCTACACTTCTGACCCAGGTGAGCATTTACTCAAGTGTGTATAGGCACGCTATGGAACAGGCGGGTGGGAACTTGTAAAAGTAACACATTAGGACATGCCCTCAGACAGGGACTCTTTTACTTATTTTTGTATGACACTGTTCCTGGGGAAACATGAGCAGAAACAAAATTCAGATAAGGAACTGATGACAGATGAAAGTAAAGGATACAACCAAATTGCAACTTGATAAAGCAGTGATTTTCGTTGGGATTTCTTAAAGGAATATGGTGAGGGGTTACTTACAGGTGTAGACATGACCCAAAGACAGCTGCACACCAAAGTGAACCCCAGCATGGGTTCAGAAACGTCGGATAATGTCTTTTCCGGATAGTTGTCAGATAGCCCAGTTGGTCTGAGAATGTCTTTCAGCAGACCCTACTGCTTATATAACACTTATGTGTGGAAGAGACCTTGTATATGTGGTAGGTTTTGGGGAGTTTACTTTCTGAGCCTGAGGAACTGCTTTAGAATATGCTGTGTCTAAAGGAGCATCCCTGTAACATGGAAGGCTTTTTATATAGGAGGAGATTGCTACACCATGCCTAAAGCTTAGGACAGCAACTTGAAGAGAGCTTTGGTAGCAGGTGGGGGTTGGTAGAAGAGGAGTACTTAGGCTGCATCTCTGAGCTGTTGGTCAGCTACCTTTTCTGGTTGTCCTCCCTCCCTGTGAGTGACAAGATTATCACAAGAGAGAAAGGAAAACCCCAGTGAGCCGGAGATGGTTCTCCCACTCAGCATCCTGTCCTTATTCTCAAACTGCTTTCCAGTGTCTATTTTCTTTCTTTTCCAGCTTTGCTCCTCTTCTTCCTTCTCTCTCTCTCTCTCTCCCACCCTCCCTTCTCTCTCCTTTTCTTTCTTCTTTTTTCCTTCTTTTTTTTTGTGTGTGTGTGTGTGTTATTAAGAATGAAACCCAGGGCCTTCATGCTTGTAATTGTACATGAATGAACTAGTACAAAATGTGTTTTTTTGTGAATGGTCTAGCAGTATCCCACTGTGCACCTCAGTCCATCTGTCTGTTCTCCAGCTGGTGAGTGTTAGCATGATTTCTGTTTTGGGACTGTTGGGTTTAAAAGGCTGCTGAACTCCCTGTCTCAAAAGATTAGTCTCACTTTGAATTTGTTTGTTTTTAAATGTGACAGTTTTATTAATTTGTTTATTTGTCATACTGGGGATTAAGCTCAGGGCCTTGTTATACTCTGCAAGCACTATACCACTCAACTACATCCCCAGCTCTTGTTAACTTCTATTTTGAGACAGGGTGTTGCTAAGTTTCCAGGCTGGCCTTGAACTTATTTTGTAGTCCAGGAGGCCTCAAACTTCCTCATCTCTCAGCCTCCCACTGCTGGTATGAAAAGTGTACATTATCTTGCTTTGCTATTATAGGTGTGTGTTTGTTTATTTTGGCTCTTAGCCTCTAAAGAGAAACATTCATACATTTATAATAGGATTCTGTGAGTACTCCCAAAGGATTGTTTATGAAATAGGACTCCTGAGGTGGGTGAAGGGACAGTGGAATTTTCTGTATTCTTTTCTTTCTGCCTTGTACGTGTTTCAAATCTTCTGTCACAGTAGCCCAATTAAGATAAGCCTTATCTGGAAACATCATGCTTTCTGCCTTACTTCTCTACTCAGACTATTTTTTTCTTATATATAAAAATTAGAACAGTTTCATTCAGATCTTCTGTTATCTATTACCCCACCATCCTGGGGCAAAAAAGCATCCCTAATTTAGCTTGCTGGAAGTGGCGCTGGTGACACCTAATTGATGTTAAGCAAAGCCAGGTGCCCCTGTCTGAGATGAACTCTACTTTCAGGTGGCCTTATCAGTCTGACTTTGCTGTGTCTGGGCTACCTAGAATGAATGTGAGACCCTGGAGCTCAAGGTTACAGAGTGTGCACTTTTTGCACCTTTTATGTTTCCATTTCTTTGCTGTCACCCCGGACTGAGCAACCACCCTGTGCCAACAGAGTCAAGCTGCTTTTTCCTGGTGGCTTCATTTCTTTTTCTTTTATTGTGATAAAATACCCTGACAAAAGAAACTCAAAGGCAAATGTTTCATTTTGCTCACAGTCCCATATTACTGACCCTCATAATAGCGAAACCACAGTGACAGGAGCAAGAGGAGACATTTGTCATATTCATAATCAAGAACAGGGAGCAATGAATGCATGCATGGTATTGCTCATCTCACTTTTCCCAATCAAGACCACCCCAATAGGCATGTCTAGGGCTCATCTCTCAGATAACTCCTGTATTTGTCATGTTGGCAATTAGCACTGTCTCATCTGGCAACTGGTCATCTATAGCTCTATTGATTTCTAGTCACTGACAGTTTTGAAAAAGGAAAACTAGTGTGCTGTTTAACATCATTATGACATTTCAGTTCCCAGAATTTTCCTTCTTTTTCTACCCCAAGGTTGTAACCCGACTGATTCATCTCTTGGGTGAGAAGATCTTAGGCAGCCTCCAGCAGGGGTCTGCAACAGGTGGGTCTCAGCCCTATTTTGGAGCTCTTCCTCATCCCGCTGCCCCATCCTTCCCCTGGCAGAGGTAGAAGAAGGAAGCAAAGAGGCTAGAGCAGACCACTGGAGCATTGTGGGATAGCTGCAGGACTTTTGAAAACATCCAGAAACTCCCACCAAACACAACTCTGAGTAAGGAGGACTTGATTTTGACAGTGCCAGTATAGTTGTCAAGATAGGTCTCCACAGAGGCGGTACATAGGAAAGCGCAACTATTTGTGAAAAGAAATGTAACAGATCTACCTTTGGTTTTTGCAGACTTCCTAGTAAAAGGAAATAGAGGAAGAAGCCACTGAAGGAGTGGTACAGTTTAGGCTACTGTTGTATGTCATGTGCCAAGTATAAAAAGATGGTGAAATAACTGTAGGGTATCAGGAACTAAAAACTCTACCCAGAATGTTTGTTCTCTTCTAGCTCTCAGAGTATCCATAACTTTGGAGCTGCTGGTCACTCTGTGTTTCAGGGCTGTCTTCTCTCCCTGAATCGCAGATATATGAGAGCTCTGATGTTACGCTTTGGCTCTTTACTGTTCTGTGTACACTATGCCCATGGCTCTCTCCTGCCTCCACCTCCGCATTCCCTGCCTGGGTTACCAGTATTCATTTTTGTGCACACCTCTAGTTCTCCTCACCTAGTCTGCTCATCTTTTATTTTATTTTTCACTAGTTCTCCCAGGCTAGCTCATTTTTGGCCTGTCCCTCTACTGATACAGCTTTATATCTGTTTTCACAACTGAGACTGGTGTACAATACTGAATGTTTGTTGAAAAGACAAATTCGGGCTGGGGAGATGGTGCAGAGGTTAGGAATGCTGGCTGCCCTTCCAAAGGTCCTGAGTTCAATTCCCAGCAACCACATGGTGGCTCACAACCATCTATAATGAGATCTGGTGCCCTCTTCTGGTGTGCAGGGTACATGCAGACAGAATGCTGTATAAATAATAAATAAGTAAATCTTAAAAAAAAAAAAAGACAAATTCATGAGTAAACATGCTGCTATTTAACTATTTACTCTGAGTATGCCTGGTCATTTGAGTCACATCTGATATTTTAAGTATTATGGGTTTCTTGTTGTTTTGGGTTTTTGAGACAAGGCTTCTCTGTGTATCCTTGGGCTATCCTGGACTTGCTTTGTAGACCAGGCTGGCCTTGAACTCACAGAGATCCACCTGCCTCTGCCTCCTTGAGTGCTGGGATTACAGGTTGCACCATGCCTGGCTAACTTTGTGTACTATATTAAGCTAACTGTCTGTGCTGGCAGTTTGCACACAGCAATGAGAAGCTGTGATCCAGAATGAATTAATCTTAACTTCATCAATTTGTAAAGCTCTATTTCCATATGAGATCATATTCGGAAGTTCTGAGTAGACTTGAATTTTAGGTGAGACTCCTACTGTTCAATACATACGATTGCTTTTTTACTTTGCTTTCAGCCTGTCTGACAGTTATGTTTGAAATAAGTTTCTTAAAGGAAAACATAGTGAGGCTACGTTGGTAATGAACTCTTCTGGCAGTCTTTATCTTTTACTTTAACTATTTAGACCACTTACATCTAACATAACTACTCTGTTAGGATTTATGTCTACTATCTTATTTTTTATTTTCTTCCAATATTATTTTTATTTTTGGTTACTTAACCTTTTTTGTTTTGTTTTAAGACAGGATTTCTCTGTGTAGCCCTGGCTATCGTTAACTCATTTTGTAAACCAAGCTGGCCTTGAACTCAAGAAGATCCACCTGCCTATGCCTCCTGTGTGCTGGGATTAAAGGAGTGCTCCAGCACTGCCCAGCCTACCTAGACATTTTTATTAGTTCTATTTTTATTAGTTCTTATTTCCACACTTTCTTTGTTGGATGGTTTCTGTGGTCACTCTGGAAACTACAGTATTTTATTCTTATCTATTAATAGCAATAATTTTTATTTTAAGTGGAATGAGTACCTTAGCATCTACCGTTTATGTCACGTTGTTGTGGGACCTCTTGATGTGTTGTGGGTTTTTGTTGTTGTTGTTGTTTGAATTCTTAAGATTTATTTATTTTTATTTTATATATCTGTGTGTTTTGTCTGCATATGTCTGTGCATTACTGCATGCAGTGACCTTGCAGGCTAGAAGAGGGTGTCACAGACAGTTGTGAGCCACCATATGGGTGCTAGTAACTGAACCTGGTTCTTTTGAAATAGCAGTCAGTGCTCTTTACCACTGAGCTATCTCACCAACCTTTGAGATGTGTTTTAACCATTACTTTTGCATACCTTGAGAACTAAGCGTTTGCTTTCAAAAATCTGCAATCCAAAATCCAAAAACTTTTTAAGTGTCATGTCAACATTCAGAAGTTCTGAATTTAGGGGTATTTGCCACTTTCAGTTTAGGAATGTTTAACCAGCAGTGTGGAAATATTCCCAAATCTGAAAAAGCCAGAACTCCAAAACACTCTGGCCTTAGTGAATTCAGATACATGACTCTCAACCTGCCTTTAAATTGTTCTCATCTTTACTTTTTGGAAATGTGAAAATCTTTGCATTTACGCCTTTTGAGGTTAGTTTTGCTTTATTCTGTAGATTTATATCTTTTAGCAAATTTGAGAAATTGTTTGCCTTTATTTCTTTACATCTTCTTTTAACCTTGTATTCTCTCTTTTCTTCTGAAAACAAAATGTCATAAATGCTGGGCCTTTGTCCCAAAGGTATCTGGGGCACTGTTCCCTTTTTTATCTTTTTTGTCTCTATGATGTTCAAATAGAATTGTTGCTGTCCTCAATATTACTTGCCCTTTCCTGTCACCTCAATTCTCCTATTTCACCTATACAAAGTGGTTTTTTTTTTTAAAAAAAAAAAATTTTCTTTGGTTGTTATTATTATTTTGAGACAGGATCTTGCTGTGTATCCTAGGCTGGCCTGTGACTAATTATATAGCCCAGACTGACCTAGAACTTGCCACCTCCTGTTCTAGTTTCTCTCTTTAGTGTCATATTCCTCTGCTGGGATTACAAATTTATGCCACCGTCCATCATTCCTGGCCCTCAGAGACATTTTCATTTGTTGTTGTATTTGTCTTTTGCTTTGTTTTGTTTTGCTAAGGTTTTCTGTTTGTTTCAGAAATGTTCATGATTTCATGATTACTGGCTGTTACTGGTTGTATTTCATTGTTCCTAGCAAATAGCGCCAACTTATATGTTATTTTTGTCTGCCGACTGACTCTTCTCATTCAAATTAAGATTCCTTGTTCTAGGAGCTCATGCCTTTAATCCCAGCACTCAGGAGGCAGAAGCAAGTAAACCTCTGAGCCTGAGGCCAGCCTGGTCTACTACGTGAGTTCCAAGACAGCCAGGGATACACACAGAAACTATTTCAAATGTTCTCTCTCTCAAAATATTCCTGTCTCAAAACAAACAAACAAAAAGATTCCCTGCTGTTAGTGTACATGGTAATTCACTGCATACCAAAGTTTTCAATGTATATATTGTATTAAATAAGTATATATATATATATATATATATATATATATATATATATATATATAT